AACAAGAACTACTAAAAAACACTAGTGTTGAATCACATTTTTTTAGTGATTTGTTTATATAAACCTTTCAAATTTTTACTAATAATTTATATTTTTATTAGATAAAATTACACTAATAAAAAAGTTTTATTTTACTATTTGACAATATTTAGTTTATTAATTAATAAATTATTTGAAATGATACTTTCTCAGGAAACTCTGTACTTGCAAGCTAACAGTGAAAATGGACGTCTCTCGTTTAGATTTTTCCTCTCAAAAATAAAACTTCAATTACGGCTACAAACTGTCTATTGTCAAAGCTGCTATTAATTAACTTTTGTAATTAAGTTTAAAATTTAATGAAAAAAGTGAAATTAAAGTTTAAGAATATGTTTGATTGAGTACCCAGTAAAAGAAAATAAAAATAGCGAATATATACTATTTTAACATACCATAACATATTACATATTTTTATATCATTATATATTATTTTTATTCAAGACATATTTTAAAAGTTTATACTTTACTCGTTATTTATTAAATAAATATATAAAACCTATATATGAATCCGATCGATATATATTTTTTCTGCTTCATGCATATATACATTTGTGATGTAATTTATCATAATTCACACAACTGGTTCAAAAAAATATTGATAGAGATGAAGATCTCCAAAGTCATTTAACTACTCTTTACTCAAATACTTGTGAATGGCTAAGTTGAAACCTAATTGTTTCTTGACGTAAAAGTTGGATATTTCTGAATTTCAAACACTGGATATTATCAACTTGTTTGAAACTAGAAAAAGAAAAGTAACATTTCACACCTGCATTATTACACACATGAAATTTGACTTTTGTGCTTGATGTGATGGACTCTTCTACAGTGTCAACTGCCAAATGTCAATTTTGCATAAAATATCGTTTCTATTTTAATAGATGCATGTATATATAATTAAAACTCGAAACCCTAGTTAAGTAGTAGTTGGCAACTAATACATCACTTATTAAAGCTTCTCGAGCAAGAGCCTTTATTGATGTTTTGAATTTAGTTTGTGTAATGTGAAAGGTTTTTATTAAGTGATGAAACTAAAATTATTAAGCAGAAAATTCACAAGTGCTGATGAGCTAATGAAATTCACTTATAAAGGTACATTAGTGAATGATATAGTTCTGTAATTTTTTTTTCTTGCAAGATATAATGTTCACTTTAAAATAGCATGATTCACCCACCCAATTTTTTTAAAAATATATTATCAGTTATACTGAATTTACAAAAACTTGCATATTATTACTCTTTGTTATAAAAAAAATTGCAAGATTAATTAAACAGGTTATAAAAAAGTTTATCTACTTAGCTTTTTGTGCATTGGTAATTACTGCATTGATATAGTATTGGCAGTTCAACTATTACAATAATGAGTTGAGAACAGTTATTTTGAGTAAAAATATATTTTCCTCACCCTTTTAATTTCAACTAATTAAACTTAAGTATATGGTGTGTTCTTAACATTGACTGATTAATTTGAAATAGATAATTAGGTTGTTGTGCAAAAGCCACATGCAATGGAGAATAATAATATGAAGGTTTATCCAACTAACAAATTCATCAAAATTAAGATGAGCAACTGATGTAGGAGAGGGTTTATGTAAGTAGTTATATGTCCTATTTGGGTTTACAATTTGGATTATATATATGGCCCCTACTTGTTGATCATTACAATATATATATATATATATATATATATATTATTCATAATAATAACTAAGCATTAACTTCTATATATACGACAATTATTAAGTAATGATATATTAATAATTTATATTATCTTAGTGCATGTCATTTGAATAATTAATTTTGTTTATAAATTTTCAAAATATAAAATGGCAACGATAGTCTGTAATCAAATAATGTTGAATCAGTGTTTTTGTTTTATATCAGAATAACTTTGACAGGTTGAGGGATTCGTAATTTAATTACATGTAATCACAAAATTTATAGAGCAAAAGGATTTTAAAAACCTTAATGATGCTCATTAACTCTATTTAAATGAAAGTTGAAAAATGATATTTAATTTATTAATGTTTTCAAGATTGAATATGTCTTTACATTGATAAAGTTTGAGGGCGTTAAGCTCTATCCATTATAAAAAAAATAAAATTGATAAACTTTGAATTTAATTAAAATATACTAACAGTATAAAAATTTATAATATTATCTAATCATAAATTTTCATATTAATAAAATTATTAATTTTTATAGTAATTAATATAAAAATAACATCTATGATGTATTCTAATTAGTAGACAGTGTAAAATTTTCACATTGATAATATATCAAATTAAAGTCATAAAATTGTTAATTTTTCCATGTACACACGTGTTTATATTTTATGTTATTTTAATTAAGAAAATGAAAGATAATTTTTTTAGTTTAAAATCAATACAGAGAATCATAACTCCATATTTCATGTGAACTTAATTAGAGAAAAATGAAATATTATTTTTTTAAATCTTAAATTCAGATAATCAGAACTACTGAATGATTTTTCCTTAGCCCCTGAATTCCCCAGCAATAATGATAATGAGAGCATGATTTAATTGTTCTCTTATAAAAAAGAAAAATAGTATAATTTAAGTTAAGTTTAAATAAATACTTAGTCCTTAACAATATTATACTTTTTTATTTTAGTCTTTATAAAAACTTATTTAATTTTTTCTTCTATTTAAGGAAAAAGAAATATTTTATAGAAACTAAAATAAATAATAATAATAATATTTTTAAAGACTAATTAACTATTTAAAATTTTAAAATTAGTCAAACATTTCAAACTTGTATGTAATTTTTAAATCTCCCAACAACCTGAGACAAATCGATTGAACTCATTCATAATGAAATACTATTTTACACAAAGTCTTTTAGAAGTAATCAATTTAAAAATAGATAGGAACAAACACAATCCAAGAGACCAAGACTAAGACAAAAGGTTTCCCAAAATAAGTTTATATATTATTTAATAGTCTCATTGATTGTAATTTTAAGAGAATTAATTAATAAAAATAACAATATTAGAGGTATACTAAAAATTATGATAAAAATATAAAAATAATATTTAAAAAAAAAATTTCTTAAACCATACTGATTAGTAATTAGTTCCTTAGTTTAATCTCTCTCTAATTTTTTATTTACTTTTTTTTGGAATTATATGAAATTAAACCGATATAAATCTGGAATTGAACTGTTGACTTTTGTGGAGAAGACATCTCAAGATTGGTTATTAGTGGCATTTGGTGTACTTTCTGGTATCGCACATGTTTGACAAAACTCGATATTTTACCCAATCAAACATTAAAAAATAATTATCATTGCTTACGCTTAATTTTAAATGGTTAATAATAATAACACAATTTTATTAAAAATTATTTATTTGTTTATAATAAAATAGTATTATTTTAAAATATTTAAATTCAATTTTAAGAGTTAAAATTAATAAAATTGTAGCCCAATTTAATTACTACCAAATGGTGCAACTTACTAGTAATTATTTTAAGTTGCTTCCAACACAAGTAGATTTAATTAAGATTTGCTTAATTTCGTGCTATTGGTTAACCTAATTGACCTGATTTTCTCCTTAGACTAAAACAATGCATTTACCATTTCTTGTGATTTGGTCGTAATCGAAAGTAACAAATTAAGTATATATTCACTGGGAATTCCAAAAGTTGATTCGAAGCTTCCTCTGGTGCCTTTGATGAATTCTTCATGACACCAAGGTTTTTTTTTTTTTTTATAAATAATTTTAAAATAATAAATATTAATATGTGATGTCAAAATTGTATTTATATAATTAAAATTTATTTTAAAGTAAAACAAATGAGACCGAAGTCTAAACAAAAAAACAATTATAGAACTTTTTTGTTAATAAAATTTGATTATAAATCTATTTATTTCTTCACAAAAATTATAAACGACAAAAAATGCAGTGTATTTATTAAAATTTAAATTTAAGATTACATGTTTAATTAGAATAACTTTTTGTCAATTAATTTACGTGCTCAGTAATATCATTTTTAATTTATTTTAATATATTTATTAGTATAATTTATTAAAACAAATTATTTTCAACTCATTTTAATAGATTTAATTTTTAAAATACTTTTTATAAAATTATTGAATAAGAACTTAAATAAATAATTATCTAAACACAATCTATATTAAATAAGAGTGTTTTAACAAGTTATAATAAATGAGAAATTTTTAAAAATTAATTTTTTTCATTATGCTATGTGATTTATCTTACATTAAGTTTTTTTTTAATTAAGTGTAATTTAAATTTAGTTTTTTATTTAAATAAATTATTTCTTTAATTTAGTTTTATTTAATATAATAGAGTTTTATTAATAATAATGAGCATATTTATTATTCATAAAAATATTTTAGAAAATTATATATAGGTATAAAATTTTATTTTAAGTTAATAATATTAATACTCGTGTGGAATTAATTAGTAATAAAATTTATTGATCATTTCATGAAATTAGCCGCAATTCCAACTTTACTTTGTTGACTTATCTTCTACGAGGATACGACAAAAGTTGAGTTATGTCAATAATAATCGGTAAAAAAATACGCTTCATAAAAAAATTAAGAATATATATTCATATATAATACAGGTGCATTAAAATGCAGGTAAAATATTAAAAACATTGAAATTAAGTATATGTATTTAAAATTGTAGTTTAAAAAAATAAAAATTCAGTTTGATTGATAAAGTTTTATTCTATTGATAATATACAAAATTTCCATTGCGTGTGACGTTAATTCTGGAAATTTGAACATTAATAAAATGAATTGATTAAAAAATAAAAATCTTCTTTAATTGAGTATGAAATTAAGAAGAAGAAAAAAGTCCACACCGATTTCTAAATTACAAGAGTTGTCCTTATTAGTTATTATCTCTCTCTCTCTCTCTCTCTCTCTCTCTCTCATCGTACCACAAGACACGATGGTAGTTGGCCGTTGTTCCTACAAGCTTTTTGGTGTTGATTTATGTTTTAGTGAATGTCTCATTCGTGTATTGTAAAGTCAAAATCGCCAACCCCATTTGGGAGCTTCTTTATTTTTAATTCACCAATTTTTTTAATGCATTTGGTTCAAAGCTACAGCTTTTGAAAGAGATGGCTTCTCTCATCAATCATCAACTTCATCACCACCCAAATTTTCTGCTGCATTTGTTGTGGCGACTTGGTCTTAGTGACAATTCCCACCAGCCCTCACACCCTTTGTTATTTCATTTTCAACTTCAAGCTTGTTTCACCCTTGCTTCCTACTTAAGCTGTCACACCCATCTGTTGTTTTCTGCTTTGTTCTTAATATTTTGTTCGAAGTTGGAGTCTTTTTCCATTTTGGATTCAAATTTGCTTCCCTTGTCTCAGGTGTTCTTCTTTAGTTTGATAGCTGTTGGGATGTTGAACTTAGATGCATAGGTTGGCTGGTGTTGCTCACTTGGTTTGTTGTTACCAGGGAGAGAAAAGTACCCTTCATAGTTCATGAGAGATATTTAAGAGTTTTGGTGATTTTTGGCTTCCTGGGATGTATCTTTCAAAGGGTTGCAAGCATGAAGTTGTTTTCATCTTATGGTTCTGTTGCTATTTGCCACTTGCTGCTGCACAGAATAATATCACTGACCCCACTGAAGGTATATTTTGCTTCCTTTTTTGGTTTTCCATGGTTGCTTTGCTTCTATTGTGCATGTACTTAATATTCAAAAGCATTATTGTAACTACTTAAGTTGTGCAGTACTTGGTTCATGACATGGTATGAACCTCTTGGACTAAATGGTTTAGGGTTGAATTTAAGCACAAGGTAGGTGGTGCTGCACATAAACTACACTTTAAGCTTAAATGGCCCTTGCTAGAGGGGACATCTTAGGGATGCACTGCTAAAGCCATTCATGTGAATTCATCAAACAACTTAGCTTTTGGGATACTTGGTTCATGATAGCTTCTCTTTAATGCTGTATGAGTGTTTGTGGAAGTGGTAACTCTTCTCTTGTGGAGTACTTTCTGCAATGTCACGACATATATTTTGTGTATAATTGTGTAAGAGATCAAAAGTAGAATTACTACAACATTTGCAAACACGATATTCTTGTGTCCCCTACAATTAAGAAGAAAAAATGGGCACAAGCTATAAAGTGTTGCTTATAATGTGTAATGTTGTTTTTTGTTGGTTCTGTTGATGATATGATGTTTTCATTTGAATTAACATGCAGTTGAAGCTTTGAATGCCATTAAGAATAGTTTGATTGATGCTAATGGAAATTTGAGCAATTGGAATCGTGGAGACCCATGTACGTCTAGGTGGAAAGGGGTTTTGTGCTTCAATGTAACACAAGACGATGGCTATCTACATGTTGAAGAATTGTATGAGTTCTATTTTCTACTAGACATTTCTGTTTTATGAATGACATTTGAACATTTATGTAATATTCATTTCTCTCTCTCTCTTCCTTTCCCTCCTTTTATGTTGCAAATAGGTTCATAAATGTTTTTGAGGGTCAAACACATTCTTATTAGTTTATACATTGTACACTATAAATCAGTATAATCACCTAAACAGGATGGGAGCTGCGGGCCACAAGTGCGCAATTTTTTATGATGATCTTTTCAACATATTTCAATGAGTTTACATTTCTTGATCAATCTGGTTCATCAATTCCCATATATTTCTGACATGAATAATTCAATACTACTTAGTGCAGTGCTATCAATCTCTGTTTGAGAAATTGAGAAGTTTCTTTTTCACTGTTACTCCTTTATTAAGTTTGTTTTTCTTGGCTGTAGGCAACTACTGAGAATGAACTTGTCCGGAACTTTGGCACCAGATGTTGGCAAATTAACTTATCTGAAAAGATTGTAAGACAAGAATTGCTTTTAAGTTTGAGATAAAAAAATATGAACAATTTTCATTTTAGCATTCGGGAGATGCCATTTTTGCTTGTATTGTAGGTTTCAATCATTTGAGTGTTTTCACCCTTTTGCTACTTGTGATTTCCTTCTTCCTCTGATACACGTTTTTCTTTGTATTTTAAAGGAACATTATGTGGAACAACATAAGTGGGAGTATCCCAAAGGAAATTGGCAATATCAAATCTTTGGTGCTTTTGTAAGTTGAGCCTTCCCTTTTGGCATGTATGTTAGTCAGCATATGATTAAATAAGTCAGTTGTTTTATTATCTTGGTATACTCTGACTCATTTTAGACATATTGGTGCATAAACATGCTTGTCATGCATGAATTCAGAATTGTATCTGATAAGTTGAATTTAAATACTGTTTCCAAAATAAATCTAAATGGTTGTACAAATAAAGGAGTGATGTTTTAACATGATGAGTAACATCTTTTCTGCATTCTTTCTCATTAAATATATTTTTTGGCAGGCTCCTGAATGGAAATAATTTAACGGGTTCACTACCAGATGAGCTTGGCTATCTTCCAAACCTGGATAGAATACAAATAGATCAGAACCACATCTCAGGACCTATACCTACATCATTTGCAAACCTGAATGTGACTAAGCACTTGTAAGGTTCTTTACGACGAAAATGTAGTTTAAGAATGACCATGTTTTCTATTTTTACATGAACTCTTATTTATCAACCTTTGTTGTTATGACCAAAAAACTGGATAGAAAATAATGTTTAATTTGTTTCCCCCAATGGAACAGTCACATGAACAATAATTCACTTAGCGGGCAAATCCCACCAGAGCTTTCCCGATTACCAAAGCTTGTTCACCTGTAAGTTGGTAATTGGATATCATTGACATAATTGGAGCTACTAACATATTTATCTGTGCCTTTTTAATCCTTAGTTATCATGCCTATATCTCATTCACAAGATGCATCTCTGGCCTGCAGTCTTCTTGACAACAACAATTTATCAGGATATCTTCCCCCTGAGCTGTCCAAAATGCCAAGCTTACTTATCATGTAGGTTTCTTATTCTTTGTGTAACATGTTATGCATGCACATATAGTTTATTTTTGGATGAAAAACATAGAGCTAATTTGGATAAACATCTTATAAGAGCAGATCATAAAATAAGCCAAAGAGATTAAATGAATCAAACTTCTTATATTATCTAAAACACATCATTCAAGTTCATATCACTTTTAGAGTATTATATCTATTCTCTTCTTTTCCTCCCTATATACCTAAAACCCCTATGATTTAAACAACAACAATTGTATGACTATATATTTAGAATTCTACTGATTTGAAAAGCTGCAAACTGGGTTTTCCATTTGATGATTTAGTTCCTGATCAATCTTTGGTTTAGAGAAATCAAATCTTTTGGTAAGTGTTGGAAATCACATCATAGAGTTTTGATAAATCAATACTGGAAGTTTGCTACTTTTGTCATTGGAGAATTTTTTAATCCTTTTTTCATGTACTTTTAAATTGTTGACTCATTTTATAAATATTCCTTGTTGTTTAATCATATTTTTAAATTGTTTTTTTAATCTTGTTCTTGCAGTCAACTTGATAACAATAACTTCAGTGGAAATAGCATTCCAGATAGCTATGCCAACATGTCAAAGTTGTTGAAAATGTAAGTGCATTCCGTGCTCCCATGTCTTTATATAGGTTATGCAAGTACAATGAATGCAGCTGAGGTGCTAGAGCCTTTATTTTAATTTTTAGGTGTGAAGTAATTTGAGTTGATACTCTAAACCTTTGTGATTTATTTCTTATACATATAGGCAATTGTACGTAACTACGTTAGACAGAAATGTTGGCCAAGAAATATAAACAAAGGGAAAAAATAATATTTTTAAATTTCTTGTGGAAATGAAGTGTAGACAGTTGACCACTCAGCAGAACACAATTTAATGTCTTGCATGGAAGTATTTTGACTCAATAAGGATATTTTCTCATCTTTCCTTCAAATGAGTATCATACAACACTCATTGCCAATGATTCTCTTTTGTTTTATTTGGATGATGGCACCCTATCACTCTGTTCACTTCTCTTGTCCTTTGCTTAATAAAATTTCTCTCCAAAGCAGAAAATTAAATATGGTTAGAGAAGGGTTTGATGTCAAGGTTGATCATCTAAATGTTGTTATTAAGTTGTTGGTGTTATCAGGAGCCTTAGGAATTGCAGCTTGCAAGGACCAATTCCTGATTTAAGCACGATACCAAAACTTCTTTATCTGTAAGTTCAGCTATCTGCATTAAGAGATGTGGCTGTTCCTGAAAAAAGTGAAGATTCTGATGTACATGTCTAGAAAAGAAAAAGTCTAGTGAAGTTTGTAGCTATGTTCACTGACTGTTATTTTTGTGTAAATTTTAGTGACCTCAGTTTCAACCAGTTGAATGAATCGATTCCTCCCAATAAGCTTTCTGGCAATATCACAACCATGTGAGAATCTCTATCATTTAATCTGTCATTGATTGATTTTACATTTAATTATTTGGATTCCACATGTCAACATATTCATCATATGTTTATTGGTCATAGCAGATTTATAAAATATGATAATATGATAGCTTTTGACCTCTTGGCATACATGCAGTGATTTATCAAATAACAAACTTACTGGAAATATTCCATCCTACTTTTCTGATCTTCCAAATCTTCAGATGTTGTAAGTTGTTTTCTGTTTTATCATTTTTTCTTCTACACCAAGCTGTATTACATACTATAAGCCAAACAAGAGTTCTACTATAGATCACCTTATCTCACTTACAGATCATATATTGAATTACTAATGAGATGTTATTAACTATTACATTTCATATTTAATCAATCATGCTGTGAAATCAATGGCTCTTTATTAATAATTTTCTATGGGGCAGGTCACTTGCAAACAACTCGTTGAATGGCAGTATTTCTTCCTCCATTTGGCAGAATAAGACTTTAAACGGAAGAGAAAATTTTGTCTTGTAAGAGCTGAAGTGACAATTTCCACAATTTTGGGAGTTTTACTATGTTAATATAGTTGATTCATCTGTACTTCCCTCTGAATAAATGCTACTGAGTATTTGACTCCTGGGTGTTTTTCATTTTAGTTCGCTGAACATAGGTTTCTGATCTTGCAGGAAGTTGGAAAATAATAGTATTACAACCATATTAGGCAGTATTGATCTTCCTCCAAATGTCACAGTTGGGTACGGTTCTAACCTTATTTGCTATTATGCAGTTTGCATTAAAATCATTAGATTTCCATAATTTTTCTCCTTATTATGCATGTTCAAAAGACAAGTGTTATTTTGCTTAAGATCAAGAATTGAACATTAGAATTAGCACATATTCAATCATTTTTAAATAATTTTGTTATTATTTGAAAATTCCTGTATTTCAGGCTTGGTGGGAATCCCATTTGCCCAAATACAACCCTGGTTCAGTTCTGTGGATCTGAAGGTGCTAGTGTAATAAATGGCTCATTTTCAACAAACTCCAGTTCCTGTCAAGTTCAATCATGCCCTCCTCCTTATGAATACTCTGTGAATTGTTTCTGTGGGCTCCCATTGCTTGTTGGTTATCGGCTGAAAAGTCCTGGATTTTCAGACTTTCGTCCGTATTTGAACGATTTTGATCACTACCTGACTAATGGTCTTGCAATATCTACCGATCAGCTAGAATATGATTTTTATTGGCAAGCAGGACCTCGACTGAGAATGGACTTGAAGCTTTTTCCTGCATATGTTGATCAGAATAGTAATCATACTTTCAATAGTAGTGAGCTCCTACGGCTCACAGGCATGTTCACAGGATGGTTAATTGCTGACAGTGATTTGTATGGGCCTTATGAACTGATTGGATTTAATCTTTTGGGTCCTTATGCAGATGGTAAGTTCCAGAAACTTCTTATGATCTGATATAGTGCTTGGTGGAATCTGGATTTAATGCATACTGTTAACAATAAAATTGTGCTAACATTTTCTTTAGCTGGAAGAACATAGGCCAGAATATTATAGAAAGAAAAACACTGTTGACAAAAAAATCTCTATTTCTTGATCTGTATAAGTGGAATACAAGATCAAGGATGCGAGAATGAAGAAACAAAGATAGTGCAGATGCACTAAGTGCCGTCAGGTCTCATAATTCTCTATTGATTTAGTTGTTCATGTAGGTGCATTTGATTTTTAAAACATGAAGGACTAGAGAGCACAAAAATAATTGGTGTGTTTGATTCTATAAATTGTCACGGTACAGAAGAAAACAAAAGATGAAACACGACAAAATTTTAAAAGTTTGTTACTTAATGAACCAAAGGACAATTCCCAATTTCCTCTCCTCCATAGCCTTCTTCCCTGAGTTCTCTTCTCTTCCTCATCCTTTTTTCCCCTTTACACAGTGGCCTTTTATGTTTCTTAATGCTTTCCAATTGAATATTTCTGTCACTCTTACAATCAAAACCTAGTCCATCTGTGTCCTGATTAGCCTTACATATGTTCCATTCAGCTACTGTAGCTTTGTGGCGATAAATATTAAATTGTAAGTAAGCGTAAAGTGTGAAAATAATTGAATGATAAATATTAGAATGATAAAAATGTCAAAATGTTGTGCCTTTCTTAGTGCAAAACAAACATTACACAGCACATAGAGTTTTGTAGTAAAATGTTCATTCTTTTGTCTAGAACTTATGCGCTTCAAATTATTAATCAGCAGGACAAAAAGTTGTGTTGTGACTCTGCTACTTGTACTATGATGTTATGCTTCTGCTGTCCCTTAATGGGCATCAGATCCACCCCATAGTGTTTTTAGCACATGTTAATTTTCTTCCTTCCTGCAAACAAGTTAGGTCCCTCTCCATATGCATGTGTCACATGTCAAAGTTTGAATAAATGATTAAAGCTTTTGTTTTAGCTTTCTTGGAAATTGATACATGACTGTTCTATTTCTAAACTTATGTCCATTTGCGATATTTTGGGTGAGTTGACATCGATTTGATTATTCTTCAATAAATAACCTGATTTGATTATTCTTCAATAGATAACCTGATTTGCTCATCCTAATGCTTGTAGAGACCCTTTAGCAAAAATAAAGCAACTATAATATGACAGTTCACAGAGAATTGCATGATCCAGATGCAGTGTTCAGTCCAAGAGCATACTTTATGTGTTGCAGTCAAGTGAAACATCAAACAGCTAGTTAAGATTAGAAAGTTAATGTCACTTGAGCACATCAATGAACATGCTGCTGGACAATATGTGGCATGCTTATCCATTTACTGAATATCATATTTGCTAACTTTGTATGATTGTCCTCATACTGCTCATTATTGTTGTAGTGATTGGTTCCTCTTCAAAATCACGGATAAGTACTGGTGCACTGGTTGGCATAATCATAGGCTCAATAGCTTGTGCTGTGGCATTATCTGCAATTGCTACTATTCTTATAGTAAGAATAAGATTGAGAGATTATCGTGCAATTTCCAAACGACGTCATGGTGAGTTTCGTATAATGAATCAGCAAGTGTATTGCTGTTTTTCTCTTTAATTATTCTCAAATTCTTTGTCTTTTACACAATTCTTGATGAATGGTAGTGTTTTATTTACGACTGAACCATACTTGAAATTTAATTATCTTTTAACATAATCTAAAGTTGTTTTAATGTTTTCATTTTAAGCTTTGGGACTGTTACTGTCAGCAAGTTGCCGACTTGCCTTTGTAAATTTATTCCTTGAAAGAATTGTAAAATCCATGTTAAGTCTCCTATTAAAGCCTATTATTGCATTTGTTGATAAATGTCGTTTGGCTTTTTCCCTTTGTTTTTTATGTTAGGAGAAATTTTATTCAATCAAGGTTGAAAAACAACTTGGAGAATCAAAAAGAGGTTTACCTCCAGACAGCAATATTAGAAGTCACATTGATGTAGCTGGTTAACTCTTTGTAACGTTAAAGATGCTTATGTATTTGGGGAGTTACATGTTGCTACACATCCATTTTTATCCCCTTCTCCTTGTGTGAACGCAATATTTTATAACTAGTTGCAAACTCCACAGCATTTCCTATACTTGTTTTTTATGTCAAAATGTAAGAACAATTTAACTGCAGTTCAGATATTAATCTAGAGGCTCTGTAGATATAGTACACACTAGCTGGGAAATTAAAAACTTTTCAAGGTTTTTCTATCAGACAGATTTTCAGGGTGAAATTCGATCCACTTTTTCTTTCTGTTTTGAACTTGGTATGTTTGTAATTTAAAAAATGTGTGGTACTATGAATTTACTGTTACAAGCCGTATTTGATTGGTTATGATGAATGACTTTATTAATAAAATCTATTAACATATACTTGTATTTACCCGCAGCATCTAAGATCTCAATAAAAATTGATGGTGTAAGAGCCTTTACTTATGGAGAATTGTCCACCGCTACAAACAATTTCAGCAGCTCTTCTCAAGTTGGACAAGGGGGCTATGGAAAGGTTTACAAAGGTATTCTTTCTGATGGCACAGTTGTTGCCATTAAACGTGCACAAGAGGGATCCCTACAAGGTGAGAAGGAGTTTCTTACAGAGATATCATTATTATCAAGGCTACATCATCGCAATCTTGTGTCTCTGCTTGGATACTGTGATGAGGAAGGTGAACAGGTAATTTATATCTGAAAATTTAACACTTGCTAGATTTTATTTTAGTAATTTCAATGATTATCTTGGACTCTTCAAGTCATTTTTGGAAGCTCTGCGATCGACGAAACCCATTGCTTGTTATCACCTTTTAACTCCAGAAGGATATAATTCCTACCAAAATTAGGATGTACACACATTAACAACTTGACCAGGATGACTTTAAATAAAACGAAAGAAGTTATACTCAGTTGCAAAACATGTCCAGTTGTTCTTGAATTTGTGTTTTTATAATTATAAAGTCATTCTTGAAACAAGGGTTTTCTTAAGCTTCTAAAGTAGGGAGATTGTGTTGTCAAATTCCATGTTCTTTTTTCTTATTGTCCTCTCAAAATATTTTGGTATTATAATCTCCTTTTTATTCTATTTTCTTCCATCTGAGTTGTTGCTTCATGCTTGCAGATGCTGGTTTATGAATTTATGTCAAATGGCACACTAAGGGATCACCTTTCTGGTATATTTTATTTTCTTATTTTCTAATCTGCTGAAATCATCTATTAAAATTTTGGTTTCCATTGCGTTTTCCTGATGACTTTGTAACAACAGATGCTGTGTAAATTTCCTTTGCTCTATCTGGCTCCAATTGAAGCTCAATGATAATCAAATAATTTGTTTTACAGCAGTTATGTGCCTAAGTGCCTTTCTATGTTGTTTCTCTTAAATGTGTGCTTAATGTTTTACCACAGTTACAGCAAAAGCACCTCTAAGTTTTGCCATGAGATTGAAGATGGCACTAGGGGCAGCTAAAGGTCTTATGTATCTACACACAGAAGCGGATCCTCCAATATTTCACCGAGATGTCAAGGCCAGCAACATATTATTGGATTCTAAGTTCTCTGCAAAAGTGGCTGATTTTGGACTTTCACGGCTTGCTCCAGTTCCTGATATTGAAGGAATTGTGCCTGGTCATGTGTCTACAGTGGTAAAGGGGACCCCGGTAAGCCTTTCATATTTGGTTTTGCTAAAATTGTGCAGGGGTATATTAAGTACAAGTTTAGCAATTTTATTTTTGTATTACTAATCTGAGTCAAGTACTAGTATATTGCTACTAATATTAGCCAACTTTGTAATGCCACTAATATAACAAGGCTCTCAACCCTGATATTCCAACACTTGTTGCCAGTTCGAAGTGTGCATGGGTTTTGGGAGGTTGATTTTATTTGTTCAATGAGTTTTTATCTATTTTTTTTCACTGTTTTGCATGTGCAGGGTTACCTTGATCCAGAGTACTTCTTAACTCACAAGTTGACTGATAAGAGTGATGTTTATAGTCTTGGTGTTGTATTTCTGGAACTTTTGACTGGGATGCAACCTATCTCACACGGCAAAAATATTGTTAGAGAGGTATTTGCTAATCATGGGACTTATTTTCTCTCCCCATTCCCTATCAAGTGTGATTGGATCAAACTTTGATTAACAGGAAATTTTAACTTACGTAATTTCTTTTGTATATTGTAGCAAAAAAATGCCTTATCTTTTCTTCGGCCTCAGATTATATTTTTCTTTAAACAGTTCTTGAGTATTTGACAATATCATAGGTTTGAATCAAATTAGACAATTTCCATGTGTATCCTTTTGTCATGCAAATAATATTCCTTCAATCATTTCTCATATCTTAAGATATCAAATAATAAGAGTACTTGACATAACACTGATGCTTTTCTGAATCTTTTTCAGGTTAATGTTGCATACCAATCTGGTGTGATATTTTCAATTATTGATGGACGTATGGGGTCCTATCCATCTGAGCATGTGGAGAAATTTTTGGCTTTGGCCTTGAAATGTTGTGAAGATGAGCCGGATGCACGGCCAAAAATGGCAGAAGTGGTTAGAGAACTTGAAACCATATGGTCTACTATGCCGGAATCTGATACCAAGAGGGCTGAATCTTTGACAAGTGATTCTGGTTCTGGCAAAATAGACATTCACAGTACACCATCTTCATCATCTGCTATGAAGACTCCTTTTGTATCAGGAGATGTGTCAGGTAGTGATCTTGTTAGTGGTGTAATACCAAGCATCAAGCCAAGATAGAACCACCAATGTTGGAAATGATTAGCTTCTGTAATTATGGTCAATCAAATGAAGTAGTCATTACCCTGTGAATTGATAATGAGACCAAATAGTACTATTTTTCATCTTTACTCTTTACGTATTCTCTTCGTTGTACAATATCATAGACTAATAGAACAGTGGCTGGTAAATAACATGTCGATTTTGTGCATCATTTAAGCTTTGGAGTGGTTTGTGTAGTGATAGTTAAGTACTGGGAACTTTAATTCCGTTTGATGTAGCTTATTCAGATATTTGAAGTAGAGCAAATTTTGTAACAATATGAAAGTTATGATGGCATCTATCTTACACACTATGGTTATTAAACTCTCAGTTACTTTATTTTAAAATAAATAACCTTTACTAAATTAACTTTTTTTTTTCCTATAATAATATGACGTTCAGCTAAATTCAAATCTATCACAGTTTTTAAAATAATTCGGCGAGAGTTAAGATTTATGTTTTCATATAAATTACGAAAATAATAATTTAAATTGTTTAAGTTTATGATACAGAGCATTTAGTAATTGGCATATGTAAAAGTTTTTTAAGCTTTACATTATGGATGACTATAAGATGCACCTAGTATATGTTTTAACCATTAAATATATATGAAAGCGGTACTATTTTTTCAAAAATGGAACAAAAAACTGCACTTTAAGAAACAGATTCACAACATAATTGTCAATCTTGAATAGCAACATATAGCTGTTAAAGCCAAAAATGCTATAGGAAGATAACGCACAGCAGAGTGATTGCTATTGAAAATTTTCATATATTCTAATTAAATTTTTATACCATATATAAATGCTCAAAATTCAAAAAAATAAAAAAACTCAAATCATGACATATATTCATAATTAAAATTTTCTAAACAAAACATCTAGTTAAGTAAACATTAAAGTAAAAGAAAGAAAGAAAGAAACAAAACAATATTGCTAGTTGCAGTGTGGTAGATAGAAGCGTGGGAAACTCTATTCAATCAGGAATTATTATTATTATTTTTATTTTGGTCAATGAAGAAGCTTAAAATTTTGAAAAGAAAAGATAATGGCGGTTATGGCCGTAAAGAATCAGGTCCAACAAGGTAACCCATTCTCGAATATTCTGGGCCGACAATGGGCCGTAGTCCAAAAGTCCACGTGGGACCCACTCTCAAAACATGACGCACGCTCATACGCACACTAACCGCGTGCATCCGAAGCCTATAAAAGGAGCACTACCTTCTTTCCTTTCCATTTCCTACATTTTGAAGAGCTCTATCTCCTCAAAACTAACAACATGGGAAGAAGTAAGCAGCAACATACCTCTCTCATAGTTAAACTCTTTATATTTCTGTTGCTAGTTCTGTTAGAAGTAGTTTGTTTGTTTTATTTCTGTTAGAATTCTGTTGACGGTGAAGGTTGTGATGATTAGGACCGGCGAGGTGTTACCGGCAAATAAAGAACAAACCATACCCGAAGTCGCGGTTCTGCCGGGGAGTTCCGGATCCGAAGATTCGGATATACGACGTGGGAATGAAGAAGAAAGGGGTGGATGAGTTTCCGTTCTGCGTGCACCTTGTGTCGTGGGAGAAGGAGAACGTGTCGAGTGAGGCGCTTGAGGCGGCGCGTATCGCGTGTAATAAGTACATGGCGAAGTTCGCCGGAAAGGACTCGTTTCACCTCCGCGTGAGGGTGCACCCCTTTCACGTGCTGCGCATCAACAAGATGCTATCGTGCGCCGGGGCGGATAGGCTCCAGACGGGGATGAGAGGCGCGTTTGGGAAACCTCAAGGGACGTGTGCGAGGGTGAATATCGGTCAAGTGCTTCTGTCGGTTCGGTGTAAGGATAGTAACGCGCATCATGCTCAGGAGGCTCTTCGACGCGCCAAATTCAAGTTCCCCGGTCGCCAAAAGATCATTGTTAGCAGAAAGTGGTAAGTTTTACTGCATTTGTTTGCATAATTTCATTAAGCTGTCATTCAATTTTTTTTTATATATATTAAACTGTGTCATACGTTTGATTTTATAATTTATTAAAGTAAATAAAATAATTATTTAATAAATAATAAAAAATAGTTAAATGCTGATAAAAGAATTTTAAAAAATTGTTAATTTTTTAAAAATTTATGAAAGTTATAAGTTGTTTATAAAATTTTTACAATGCTTTTTTACTTGGTTTTTTTTTTCCTTTATGTGATTTTATCATCATTGTTATATTAGATCTTGTAATTTTAAATTAAAAAAAGCTCAAGTTGCACCGAAATTTACTAGTAGTAAGGTCTTGTGACTTTAAGAATTGTGTTCCAATTTTTAGGGGATTTACTAAGTTGAGCAGAAGCGAGTATCTGAAGTTGAAGTCTGAGAACAGAATTGTGGCGGATGGGGTCAATGCCAAGGTTTGTCTTTAGACAATGGTTTTGGAAAGAATGCACGCAATGTAATCTTGAGTGTATTTTGGATCAGTGGATTGACTAACTTTCTGTCATTTTCAGGTGCTTGGGTGTCATGGTCCTTTGGCAAATCGTGAACCCGGAAGAGCGTTTTTACCGGCTAGTGCTTAGGCCATTTAGCACTAAGCAGTAGGAAAATATGTTTCTTCATCTCCTGTTATTACAGTCTGAACTGTAACTATAAAGCTGTATCAGTATATGAATTTTGTATCTAACAGTCGTGAAATATGCAAATTTGTTGTATTTTATTTTCATTATTCCGTTAGAGTTGAAACAGTATTATAAATAAATATGTTATTTTATTGTGTACATTGTTTTCTATTTTAGTTTTTTTGGTCGTCTGTTAACCTGGGCGTTTCGAAATGTAAAACCAAATGTATTATTTCGGAAAAAACAAGATGCCCACATACTAAACCAGGTCCCCGCACCTTATGTCTTTTGGGGGCTAAAAAATTTCGACCAATAAAAAATATAGCGGAAAATAATCTCCGTTCAAGATTTTTTTTTTAATTTCAATTTGTACAACTTTTAACTACACGACAGTTTAATTGAAGAATATAATTACTGGTGAAGAGTAGTCTGCAGTTCAATGTGTTGATCAAACTAAAATGGCATCTGCCAGTTCAGGTGGACAAAAAGCAACAAAATGTCTTGAATGAATTTTGTTACATTTAAATCACAATTGAAACAATCAACTTTGTTAGTTCCGAAGGGTAGGTGCAGCGGTCAGTATACTTACAGGGACCTAGTTTACACACATTCCGTTCTTATCATCAAAAGATATATTGTATAAGAGAGAAAAATCATTCTTCTTGATTAGAATTATAAACAGGGCTCTACCAAAGAAAGAAAGAATTGTAATAGAGAAATTTTTTTATGTGGCAATTAATTCTCTATCATTGTCGTTTGACTTAAATATCTTTAATTCTCATTTTCAATTTCAAATTTTCATAAATTAAATTTATATATCATTTGAAATCTTTTCCTTGCTCCAAACTCACTAAAATAACAAATTTAATCTAAAATAAAAAATCTCACAATTTCCTGTTTCTTGAAACCAAATTTTATCTGAAAGTTTACTAAATTTTTAACTTCTAAAATTATTTTATATATCAAATCTATCATGAATTCCAACTTATTTGAATAATAATAAAAGAAGATTTTGAGAGTTGTAAGTAGAAAAAAAATTTGACAACGGGACTACATTTATTTGATTTTAAAAGATGGATAAACTTAATTTGTAAAACAGAAACTAGTAGAGACCAAAATATAAACAGAAACTGTAAGAATAAAAAATGTAATTAAGCCTAGAGGTTATTCATCGTGTCTTTGTGTGGTTTCAAAGTGAATTCTATAACTGATGAACTTTGAATGACCTTGAAAATTGTGTAATTTGCTGATAGAACTACTCAGACAGCGTGCTTGGTTTAAAATAGATTAGAAGTTTGCCTACAATAAACTTTCATATATGCTACAACTGGATCCTGCTCTTTTACACATTTACTCTTCATGAATAACGTAAAGGCTCAATTACAGAAGTTTGCATATCTTATACCTGGACCTTAAAAATTGTGCTTAAGTTTGATTGTTGGGCAGTTTGCTGACAACTGAGTGCTCTGGTTTGTGATCGCATTCAAAGTCTAAATGAACGAATGCTCGCTCAACTTCTGGAAGTTTCTCAAGCTTTATCTGTAGGGTCTCTCCTATGGCGTGTGCTACTTTTAAGGGTAAATCTTCTGGCAGTTCAATGTCAACCTGTTCCAAATCAAATCCAAATGATGAGACGTAGGATATTATGATATTATCTTTGTGGAGAATAACACTTGCAAGTAATTTGTAAGATAAAATAGAGCCGACTTAGAGGCATTTCATCAATACAGTAACCAATACCATGACTGCCATGCATTCCTCAGTGTGAATGCTATTGCGAAAATAAGCTAGACAATAACTTCTCTCACGTTAAATACTAAAAGAGGAAAACATTAGGGATATGCTCTAGTAAGTATTTGTTCGTCACTAATAGAGAATGTCAAATTAAAAATTAGGATTAATATTTTTTTTTTGGCGAACAGGGTTAGTTTGTTGCTAGTGCTTCTATAAATTGGTTTGTATAATATCAACATACCTCCACAAAATATAGAACGCCAAATGTGTATGCGCGGACAGTGTCAATGCGCTTAATTTGTGGGTGCCTTATAACAAGATATGTCAGCTTCTGCAAAACTTCAGGAGGTGCTGATTGTCCCACTAGTGAAACTGCATAGGAAGTTCTCCAGAGTCAAGTTAATATACAACTTTGTTTACAAACAACAGAGGTGTCCTTTTTTTTGGTTTTAGGGGGGATGGGTTTGCGGAGAGGGGGGGGGGGGGAAGGGTTGTTGTCATGACACTCAATGGAGCTGAACTTCCTATGGAAGCAACTACCCTTAACTTTCGCCTCCATTCAAATTAGGTATAATACAGTGAACTTGAATTTAGACACCAGTTTTGGCGAATAGTATTGCACCAATTTTAATATAGTTAAATGAAAAAAGTGTATAATTCAGCTGGTATAGTGAAATTAAACTGACAAAGAACAACAGTGTATAAAAACTTTCACGGTTGACCGAAAAACAGAGCTCCTTCGTGCTAGTGAAGTTTTAGAAACTATTTTGCTTTTGGCTGATACCAGCATTTAAGAGAACTGATGAAAGCAGTGAGAGCAAGAGGTGAAAAAAAACAAATCTACGTTTTAATATTGATGTGACATTATGACTCGTGCTTCCTAGAAACCCTTGATTTATCGATCCATTTGCCAACAGAAACACTAGATATTGCTATTTTGTACCAATGCTCATTCATAGTTTTCTCTCTTGGGCATGTATCCTTACTGAAACTTTTTTCTATTTGGAATTCCTATAAGGATATACCTGCATTTTCCATGACAGTGCGAGACCAATTTGTGATAGTATAAATTGCAAGCAAAATAGCTCCAACCGGATCAATCCACCAGTAAAATTTATCACCAAGAACAGCAGCAACTAATCCAACCACGTTTGTTACAACATCAAAGTGGTGATCCTACAGGTTGGCATTTCTGAGACGGTTTAATTGTATTTTAACTTGATTTATTAAGCAAAGATCAGAAGTGAGAACCCTTACATCTGCATAGGCACGAACAATCTTGTTTCCTGAGCTTCTACAGTAAAGCCAGAGCATAAGCTTCACCACGGTCGCAAATATCATAATAGAGTACAACCATATTAGTTGTTCAGTAGTCATCTTTTCAGCTGGAGTGTTTTGTATTAGTTGTTCTACGGCCGTGATTAATACTTGAAAACCTGTAGCAAAATGGATTAATTGTCATGTTTTCTTGCATGCTAATGTACTAATACTTTTTAGTGATTCTAAGAGAACAAATTCGTGAAAACTGTAAACTACCAAAATATGTGATTTCAGAAGCAAAAGGATTCTAACCATTAACATCTGAACGTATAATTCAATATATCAAATTTCACTTTAATCCATCACTTCATTAACAAAATTAAGTTAAAGTTCTCTTATTCTATCATGACAAAAAGCTATCTATGTTGTCAATTTTTTGAGGCAAAAGACAAGTTATGCCAAGTATAAGAAACTCAGAGAGATACAGAGGTGGCACCTGCAGCATTCTTTCTCAGACTATGTTCAATATTTGTTTACAAAATGATATGCCCTTTTAAGTTTATGGAAGACATAATAGAAGCTTCAACCAGTCAGATTCTATAGACAAGAGTGATAGTAAAGATATTTGACTCCTTTGGATTGGTTTTCGTTAAGCATAAGCATAAAGTGCAGATGTACATCCAAATTGAAAACATCTTCTAACTAAAAAAGTATATAAATTTAATTTAAATGAAACAGATTTCTTAGCATACACCTCCCGAAATGCTTTATATAAGCATATGAGTAACAACCAAATAGACAGTGTAGAAGCTAGGAATGTTTAAGTCAGTTTGACTCACCAAGTGTTGCCATGATGGCAGCAAAGATAATTATGCCCACTGGCTGCACCCTCAGCTTTCCAATTGGGTATTTGTAGATATTTATGTTCTTCATTGCGAGGTGAGTGAACCAAAGTATGCCCCCAGCCATGAGATCAAGCAGAGAATCCAAAGTCGATGCCGCAATAGCTATTGATCCACTCCTAACTGTAGCATAAATCTAGATATGGGTGTGCATATTGTTATTTTCACAGAACGATTATCATTCAGTACAAAAAACAACCACCACGAAAGAAGCAAATTAATAGTTAAATAAGCTCAAACAATCATTTGTCAACAACTGCTTCATCTGAAATCTCACTAGTTTCAAGTGAATACTATTATGACCATAGGTTATATATATATTATAGGATAAATCTTAGATACAATACTATATATAGTTGTAGAGCTGTTTTCCTATTAAAATTGGCATTTCGTCTATGCTGTAGAAACATGAAACGGAATATAACCTTTAATATCAACAAAGCTATATTTGCATAATTGGAAATCTTCATTGCCCTCTCTTGTTGCGCCTGTTCCTCGTGGTCTTCCTCAACAATGTAATCAGATGACACCACTGAGTCCACTTCCTCAAACGATTTTAGAGTAGCGAACTGCCTTTCATAGTATTCTTTCTCCCCTATAAACATTCAAACACCTAATATATTCAAAGAAATTTTTATAACAAATCTGTGATTCAAGAACACCGATTATATCATTCATAATTTACTTTTCTAGAACACGCTCTCTCTTTTATTTTCTTCCTATCTCTCTGTTGTACAAAATGTTATACACATACAATTTCTCTTAATTATTCCTCTGTTACCGATTGAAACTTCCATATTATAGAACGATATATATAACACAAACTTTATGAACATGATAACGCACAACGCAAATTCTTATCCAAATTAATCAAATACTTTCTGAACAATCATCTATGTGTGTGTGCACGTGTGTGTGGAGAGAGAGAGAGAGAGATACCTTTGCTTAAGGCGGTGGAGGAAGCGAGATCAATGTCGGAAGACTCAGAGTCAAGGCCAGAACGGACCTTACTGGGAAGCTTGGACAGGAAGGAGGCTCTGAGCGAGTTAACCGAGTTCCGGCGACTGAGTCGACCTCTCCGGCTACCGCTTTCAGCAGAGATCGGATCATGCTTGGCCAGAAGTGGCCGCGTTGGATCCGAACCCGAATTCCCGTCCATGAATCAATCTTCAAGAAAGGTCGTGAACCATGCAATAAAACACACGCTGAGATTGTCAAAAGCAACACTAATACATATTTATATATATAGCATCACTCGTGTAATCACCATTTGTTAAAATTCAAATCATTTTGAATATTCTTGCAAGAGTTCGATATTCCGTCACTTATACCGTTGATACTCACCCAATCGTCAGTTTTCACAGCCGCAAATAAAGGTGCTGTATATACGAACTGTTATAAGTGATTTTAGTTTTTATTCTTCATTTCATAACATATTATTTATTTAAATTTTTAATGTTAGTAAAAATACAATGACAATGTATTATAATAAATATTTTAGTAACATCAAGATTTAATAAATATTTCTTTTCAAGTACTTGGTTTATTTGGGGGAGTTACTGTCCATGAAAAAAATATATCAATGTTTTGATTACAATAAAATATATCAACAATAATTTATGATTTTAATAAAAATATTTACATTATTTTTATTACTTCATTTTTTCTTTGACATTTAAATTTTTTCATAAATTTTTTTTAAAATTTTTTTTAAATATTACTTAATTTCTATATATTTGTTCATTTACTATGTTAACCAATATCTCATTTGTTTATCATTTTCTATAAAATATACAATAAAAATAAATAGAATTATTAAAGTATAGAAAGAGAGTAGTATTTAACTATTTACTGTTTGCATTTTACGTTTTATTGGAGGATTTTAAGTTTAAAATAAAGTTAAATTTAGAGTTTTTTTATTATTATTTGTACTTAGTAAATTTTAAATTCCTTCTTACCAGTTACAGACCACTATCGTGATCTCAAGATCTCAATCTGTGTCTTTATCATTCAGTGGTAATAATAATAAATAGAGAAATACAAAAGTAAAAGACATATTTCCATATTTTTTTAGATTTATAACTTGTCGTTCTCATATTTTCAAATATATTATTTTTCCAAGTCAAACTTCTTTTATAAAACTAAATAAACATAAACTATTTACATTAACAAATATCCACAGTTTTGATCAGATTAAAGGAAGTCTATTCATTATTTTAAGATTAGAAATTAAGATAAATCAATTTATTGACGGTTGATTCAAGTGTTTGACAGTTAAAATAATTTTGTTTAGATGTTTTAATATATTTTAAAAAAATTATCATTTTAAAAAATAATTAATAATTTATAAACCTATATAGAAAACTTTAAACAATAATTAATATTAAACTGAATGAAAAAAAATTGAGGACTGAATCGAATAATTAAATTGGAAAGTATAATAGGGAAAGGCCGAAAAGAAATGGGCCTGCTGATACCGACTTTTCTGGTTTTATTTTCCTTACACAGTCGTCCAATTTCCAAACAGATCAACAATGCAGTACACTCTTGGACAAATCTAAGGACATTAATGATTAATAATAAATTATTTATAAGGGACCACTTCTTTTCCGATATATATAATTTTCCACAAGTGATGAAGGTTCTCTTATTAATATACACATATGTAATATTGTTTTTATTTTTTATTGTAATAAAATTATTATTAATATCTCACAATTTAAAAAAAAATGGATGTGATGAACTTAAAATCTTACTCAAGAATGACTTATTTCAAATAATATATATATATATATATATATTGAAAAAAAATTATTTTATCTAATTAACATTGCTAAAAATATTATTTTATCTTTTCTGGCTTAATTGAAAAAAACTTATAGATTTATGCGATAAACTAAAGAGAACTTCAAGAATTATTATTCGTTAAAGTCAAATTATGTTTTTGCTATCAATTTTATTATTATTTTATTCACTTACTTTACTATTTATGTAAATAAAATTATTTACTTGTCTATTTTCTTTATCATTCATTCAATATAAAATGAGTGACTACTTGTAATTTTATAATAAGACATTGATGACTTATGGAAAGAACTAAATTAAGCTCACAATTGATCATGCTTGTTTGACACGTGATCATAATTTTGAATAAGATTTTAAATTTTTATATTTACTTTTTATTCATTCTTTTTTTTTCACATTATTTGTCACAATTTTTTACATTTTTTTTTTTGCATTAATAGACCTGTCATACAAAAATAGTAAAGAATCAAATAATTAATTTTATACCCAATGCAATGTACAGAGAATAATTATTTCATGAACAAATGAAGTTTTGATTTAAAAAACAATGTAAGGGACTCGTTACAATCTAATCTCACTTCTATTTTTTTTTTTTCCTCCAATTTTTGTATGTTTAGAATTCACATTAGAAGTGTGTAACCATTGTGAAAATCATGCAACTATATTTACCATGCTTACCGGTACAAAATTTCTTTGTGTTTAATAAATATTTTGGCATTATTAATCAATTAAAAGATTTATAACTATATTAAAAATATTAATTGATAAAATTTTAACTAAAAATAAAACCATTTAAACAACATAAATATTAAAAAAATAAAAGAAAAATCACATGATATCCTTTTTTTATTTAAATCATAAATATTTTTATTAAAAATAAATATATATAAATCAAAAAATTAGTACAAGTAACAAAGCTTTACTTTTAACTGTTTTTTTCATAATAAACTTTTTTCTGCGATTGTAGAAACTTGATATCTGAATAATTTACAGTGTAATGTAATTTAATTACAAGTCATAAAGTATTTTTTTAATGAATTTTATCGTATAGTTAAATTTCTCAATCATTAGTCATTTGTTGAACATTAAAAAATAATAATATAATTGACATCACATGCAAAGAAGATTAGATAAATCTCTGGGCCTGTCTCATTCTCACTTATATGATAGAATTGGGAAATGTTTTTCACGGGAGAAATCATAGACTATGTACGATCGCAAGAAAGCCAAATATATATATATATATATATGAAAAAAATACTGTAAGTTTAAAAATTCTTATACTTTAAATTTTTTATTTAACTTAAATTTAATAGATAGTAAAATAATAAATTATAATTAATTGTATTTAAATTAAATTAAATTTTAAATTAAATATAAAATTTTTTATATTTACATTAGTATAAAAAAATTCTGTATATATATATATATAGTCATATTATGCTTTCAGGTTGGTACAACAATTGTTCCTTGCATTTTTGTCATCTTCTCTTATAATTTTCAAAATCTAATTCTATATCATACACTTAAAAATCTACATATATTCTTTGTTTGTAATAATTAAAATAAGTTTGAACAGAAAAGTGTTGTTTGATTTTGAAAAAAAAAAAATTGTTTTCATTTTTTTAATCGTAAGATTTTTATTTTATTTTTATTCTATTTTATATTTTAAACATTTGTATAAGATTTTTTTTATTTTTACTATTTCTTGTACAAATATTTGAAAATAAAAATAGAATAAAAATAATATAATGATTTTATAATTTAAAATAAAAAACGATTTTTAAATTCAGACAATTCTTAACTTTTAATTTAGTCTGGTAGTTACATTTGTAGAGATATTTGGTGAAAACATTAATTTTATAATGAATAAAAATGATATTGAAAAATAAAAAAATTAATAAGTAATTTTGATTAATTATAAGCATAAGATTTTTTTTTTTTTAATGTACTTATATTTTAATTTTATATTTGAATAAAATTGTTTATTTTTTTAGAAAAAATTAATATACGAAGAAGAAGACAATGATGATAATTGATAATGCAGTAGTGCAGGTGTCTTCTCTGTGAGTCTCCAAACGTGGCCCAAAAACAAACACAACCAAACTAGTAAGCATGTGCACACTGCACATGTCAACGTAGGAAGGGGCCCAAATGCACTGTTCATAAATTATTACAACATTTGCATACGAAATAAATCTACAAATACCTCAATTTTTTCAGAGAAATTATTGCATAAAAATTAATACATATAAGTCAAATATATCATTAATTAATAATTGCAAGGGCTAATTAGCAGATCACGTGAAGTTGTTAGTACAATGACAAGGGAGTAGAACAACATAGGATGATTCGTGCTGATTGCAGAAAGTTTATCGAAATTAAGCTAGAACTATCTTTATGATGGCTAGTGTTGTCTCCCATATGGCTTCTCTAGGAACTGATGTTTGACCACTTTACATATAAGATTCTCATATTTTTAGCTACAAACAATCACTACTCTTCTGTATCTTTAGTAGTACAGCTTTTGAATTAGTCATTGGCCCTAACACATTAATATTCGACAATGAAATGTGTTAGGACCAGATTGAAGTTAATAATTCAAAATGAAATTTTCCCTAGATTACCATTTGTTAATTGAAGTTAAAAGGCTTGTTTTAAGCCAATAAAAAGAGGTTTATAATTTTTTTTAATTATTTAAAGAGTATTTTGACTTTATTTTAACACATCTTCACGTTTGAAGTTAGATATTGTGTATGAAATTTGCAGAAAATATTTACAGGTGATTTAATAGAACTAGATAGGCTCTCATACTATGTTAAGAGTATAGAAGAAGATTATAGAAGCTATTAAAAACAGTATTGTGACTATTTCTGACCTATGTAAAATCTCTTATCATTTACCTCTTTTATATATAACATAAGAATGGTAACTAAAACAATAAAATGCTATATACTTTTAGTCCCGTTTTGTTTTCTCTAATCGAATCCAATTGCAAAATGTTGATTAAACACTTGACCCCAAAAAAATGGAAATTTGAGGTTTAGTCCGGTCCAATCCGGGTGGAAGCTGGGTTGGGTAGTGGTGCACTGCAGATGAACTTGTCCAGGCTTGTGTTAATTAATGGGTCAACTATAAAGATAAACTAGTTATTGACTTTAATACTTTTTATAATATTTATGATAATTAATAAAAAGATTATATACACTATATATTCTAATTGATTGAGATTATTTAAATTAATATTGTAATTTTTAATCTCTCTGATTGTTGATGTAAGAGTGCCCCGTTACCTTTCTACATTAATTGCATGATTTGAACCACTAAGAAGAAGAAAAAATAATGACGATATATAAGATCTGAAGACTCAATCATAAAGTAAGTAGATCACTTCGTATAAAAAAATAATAGTGGAAGTAAATGGTGAAAAGGACCGTTTTCCATATAATACATCATTGATAATGATTAATGACCAATTCCATTTGAAATTGAAGCTTTGGAATGCCAGTGATGTGCATAGAAAGGGAAACTTACAATTAATTGTGAATTTCGTCTGTTTTATTTTAGTGAAATAGGACTAAGAAACCAAGTAATTATTTAAAGCAATCATATATTTAATTTCAAAAATAACAAAATTGAACGATTATTTAATAATTAGTCAACCAAAATATGATAGGCTCGATCTTCTTAAGTGTAAGTTTGTGTAATTAAAACCAAAAATAAAGAACTTCTAATAATACTATCCTTACTACACCTAGTCAGCTGGAAAAAAGAAAGAAAGAAAAAGACACTAAAACGGAAACGTTGAAACATTAATTCATTGGTAAAGCATAAAACACACCGTGTTTTATCTCATCCAATGTTAAGTTACTATTATTTTTATTGGAAGCAATGAGAATTGAATACAAAAACATTAATAACCTATGCGATCATATGTAGTGTTTCAACATCCATTTGTTTTAAAGATAACTTGAATCAATGTTAAGTTATTAAATATAATTAAAATGTGTGTATAAACTAATTTCAACCACAGATTTTATATAAAAATACGTACACGATGTAAGAAGATGTTTCTTAGAGGAAAACAAAAGAGACCTGAATATTTTATATAATGATGATGATGGATCAACTTACCTTAATTCTTGAGTCTGGTAAGTTATAAAGCATACTTTAAGCACATCATTGTTCCCACAATAGAAAAGGGTTATCTTTAAGGTGCAAACGAGGTCAAGTAAAGAGGGATGGAGAAAGAAAGCTTGTGGTGACTAGTGACATGATTGCTCCATGTTGGACAAATGAAATCTAGAATAACCCCACTTTACATAGACAATCATTTACAAGTCAACGCAAAAGAAGGGTAGCTTTGTCTAAGCAAAGTTATGGTCAATACTATCCACATCTACAATAAATTCAAAGGCCCTACCATATATGACGTTATCTCTAAGTCATTGGCTTTATGCCCCAAAAGGGGTTTGTTAAAAATGTACTTCTCGCATAATTGTTTTTGCTAGGTGCTCATATGGCCACACCTTGTCTCAAAGTGGTCATGATATTGAGAACAAAGTGTTAAAATATTATGCTAAGTAAGTACACATTTGATAGAAAAACACATATTTCCAATACTATCAATAAACAGTGTATAAATTCCAACAATATCATATTTATACACATTATAGATGACAGGTCAAAATATAATTTAATAATATGTTTTTCTTCGCTTTATTTTGTTCTCCAAATCAACAGCATCATTGATATCAGCAATGCCTTCTCTCATTGCAGCTTTACAGAATTTAGTTACAGGAAGCAACATCAAATGCAGCAATTCTCAACATATAATTTATATAATTCACTATTGATCAGTTTTGGCACGTTTTATTTCATTAGAAGTGAATGGCGAGACACTACCACTCAGTTGAGGGCTCTCTTCTCTAAAGTTGGAATTGAGCATAGCGAGTTCTCTTAGTTGTTGCCTCTTGTAATAGTCCTGTGACTCATCCTGCACATGAAAAGGGAGGAGAATCAGAAACACTTTCATAACAACAACCCAAGAACTTCCCAATAATGTTATTTTTCCACAAAAGACTTTATATACATTTCTATTGTCAAAGCTATGTAGTAGCATGTGGAATAGAGCAAATAGTGGATTCATTTTCTCTAGTGATATGCAAAGCAGAATACTTAAAGGCACAAAAAAAGAGTAGTAGAAGATTTCCAGTTATAGGCTTCCATTCAGGAAAATAAAAACATGATCAAGTGTAACTGTTAAGTCATGCTCTTGAGCTCAAGAGCATGACTAAACAAGCATTCTTCATGTTGTTTTACAATTTTCCTTTCAACGTTAGCCACTACTTAACTTTGGTGATTAGTAAATGATAATTTTCTCTTAACTTTTCATTATAATTATGTTCTTTCAAAACAACTAAATATGGACAAATGGGGATAATAGATATATAATGCACCAATCACGAGGGAGAGTAGGGGGAAACTGTTCATTAATGAATATTTCCTGACCTCAGCAACAGAGTTAGAATTTAGAAAGGGAGAGATACCACTGGTTTAAGTAGCTCTTCAATGATTTCTTGTGCTTGCCTCAACCTTACATCAACAACACTGGCTGGTAGTTCAGCTTCAATTAAAATGTGAAGTGGATCATTCAGGTGCTCATAGCCAGGCCTTCCCCTTAACAACTCTTCCTAGCAATGTTAAATGTTACAAACATCACATGTTATGGATTATGGAACTGGAAAAATTTATCAACAAATTGAAAGGAGAAACTAAGAAAATTTAATGACTCCCTAACTAGGCTCTGTGGAGCTACAAGCCTATGAAATAAGCAAGGGATGATACCTTGTCTAGATCTTTAATTGAACCTTTCCCTCTGATATATACACGGCAACCTGTGGTAGCCTCCACTCGCTTCAGTGAATTACCCCTTGGGCCAAGAAGCCGGCCAACAAAATTGAACTGAAATGGAAAATAGCCTTACTAACTCAAATGATCAATGGAATGCAAAACTATAAGAACATGATAAGAAAATTGATAGATGGAAAATCAGCAAGTGCACCAAGTCATATCAAGTGACAAAATGAGAGTAAGAGTATCGTTCACAAGGATTGGATTCAATGTTCAACTTCAGAAAGTAAATCAGCATGATTTATTGCTTATAGTAAATTGCTATAAAAAATGTTGCAAATCTTACATTTGGATAGCTATCCTTAAGAATATCCAAGCGCAGTATTTTCTTCACAATGGGAGAACTTGGAACAACAGGTGCTGTTTGCCAATCCATGTTCAGTCCCTGTGCTCCAGCTAACCTCTGATGTATGATGAACTTATTATTAACCAATCAATAAAAGAAACTATAACTTAAAACGAAACAGAAACATAAGAGGACTAATGGTGCATGTTAGCAAGAAATCAAGTTGGTGGAGTTACTATGTGTTATGAAACACTGATTAAAGCATATACAAATTTCACAAATAGAGGCAATATTGCCACATTGCTCCCCTAAACAGTAAACACAATAAAGTACCAGATTTTTTACAATGATACATAAAATGATAAATAAATTTTATATTTGGGGTGGAAGAAAATGTAGGAACTGGAGACTGGGGGGTGGTAGAGATTTTACATTTGAATAGAACAAAACTGAGATACATACCTCATGTGACAAGCTGTTCCAACCAGTAAAGTTTGGTGTTAAGTCTGAAGAAGCCATATGACTTGAACTTATAAATTGCATTCTGTCGAAGTCACTAAACCCTTGGTTTTGCAACAATCCACTCTTCCCAGAAACCCTTAAAATCTCTGATAAGAAGGTAATAGTGAATATAAGAACTTGTGCAAAGTCTACTGAATCAAAGAATGTAATAATTGTAATGTAACCTTCAGATGCAAATTGTAAATTATGGATAGGAAGTGTAGTAGTAGACACAAATTCAAGTCATGACATAGAGTGACAGTGGATGCTGTCTAAATGAAATCTTGATCATAAAAAATATGAATGTTAAAGAAAGCATTGATACTATAAAGCTGATCATTTGAAAACAGTGAGTTTGCTCTAGTCATGCAAAAGAGACGATGACCTATTTATTTCATTTCCCGAGTGGAAGATGTCGACAATCAATATCAGAAAAATGCTTGCATTGGTCTGAAAGTGAGCTGACATAGACGTGCATACTCCTAAGAAGAGTAAATGATTAATTAGTATTGCCACCATCTTTTAGTACCCTATGAATTTTTTGTCCTCCTGCGTTTTTTTTCCCATTTGGGTCATCCAAAATTTCCCAGACTAAGATTGTTCTTTTTTCATGATTTGATTAAACATATAAGATTTGTAGAGAACCATAGAGAAGTTTGCTTTGTCATTTATAAAGGAGACTAATTCAGTCACTTGCATTTCAAAATATATGTTGTAGAGTGTAGACTACATCTTTAAAGAGAAAGAACAGTAAGAAACTAATACAAGTAACCAGAAAATTTGAGTTATGTTATGACTTGGCCTATTTAAAATGAAATAAGAGAGAGAATAAGTTGAAATGAATTGAACAATAAAAGGAGAAAATTCACAGCAGAATAATTGAATACATGGATAATGAAATAAACAGACCTTGATTAAGGAGTCTGGTGCACAAGGGTAGAACTTGCATGAAAGGTCCAAGCTTCTGGTGTTCTGCTAACAGCTCTGTTAAGTACTGACTAGAACAAACATGAATATGAACATATTCCCAGAAATTAATTGAAGTCAATACATACATACATACATACACATAGACATATATATATATATATATATATATATATATATATATATATGTAATGAAAATCAAAGCTTTGAGAATAAATGGAAGAAGAATTATCATATCCACTACATACCTATCAACATCAAAATTGCTTCTCATGTTTATATTTGGTGAATTGGCCCTTTGGGATGCAGGTGAAGAAATATGATTGTACAAATTTGACATCAATTCTACAAGGATAAGGGTTGCCCAGAAGAATTAGAGAAAATTCGAAGGCAACGAGGGAGAATTAAGAGTTGCTTGAGATTGGTTGTGGTTCAAAATTCCTGTTAGAAAAACAGAATCATATAACCTATGCTTGAAAGACAGAGAGAGAAAAATGTTAAGGGGGAAGAAAGAAAGGTACAAAAATAGAAATATGAAGGAGGGCCACTTCAGTAGTAGCTCAGTAGTTAAAGCAAGCCTTAAAGGGTGTCTCTCTGTACCTCTCTGGGTGTGTTTTAAATGTTGTTTTGTTGGCTTCTGTTGCATATGCAAGGCTTTATCATGTATCTATGTTTTCCTTAACACACACAAACAGGTGTCACTATGGATTTTTTTGGCTCACAAAAAACAAAATAGAACTCTCTAAATCTCTAATCAAATATGTATTAGGGAGATAGATAAAAAGAAGACAGTCAAAACTACAAAAGAAATCTCTTCAGATATTGATTTGAATTCATAAGCAGATTGCAAAATAGGCCTCTTCTTCCTTCAGTTGGAGACTTTCTCAACTAGAAGAATAATTAAAATGCCAAAGCAATCATATACCCTCCAATAAAGGGTATGTGCAGATGAATTTGCTTCCATCAATTAGAAAGAAGAAGCAAAGAAAGAGGCCACCCCAATGACCAATGTGGGTCACTGGTTCTCTGTCACCAGATCATGAGCATGTAGATTGAAACCAATCACTCTCATGCCTCACGCATATGTAAATATTTATATATATATAGTATATGATATATTTATACATAATAGCATACAAATATACTATAAACAATAATCAAATCAAATGAAATCAAATATTTCTTCTTCTTCTGAAGTCTCTGGAAGTTTTATTTACAGCCACCAACAGCAGCACCGAAAAATATCTTCCAACTACCTTGAAATCAATCAAAAAACTAGAGCTTCATTTGCATAGTCTATGATTAGCATATCAAATCTCATAAAGAAGGAAAAAAATATCAAGGTATTATTTATTATTATGCTGCTATTAATTTTGACAGCTTAATAGCCGCTATTATTGATTACTATAATCAACTTGCTTTCGTTTGTTTCAAATCTGGTTTGTATTAATGTTATGACATTTGTTTTTTAAACCACCTGTCACCCTTTCTTGTCTTACTCGAACCCACCTACCAAAACAATTCTCTTTTGATTGGAAACTCCATAGTCATCATTACTAGGGAATCGGCCAAATATATTATTATTATCACAGCATATAATCAAAATTTAATAAACAATTACTTTTTTTAAAAATTTATATCATTTATTAGTATCCAATATATTACATTTTATAACTTTTTAATAAAAATTTAATATTATCTGAATAATAAAAAATTGGAGTACAACTCATCACATGCTTGTAAGTTCGAAATTGCATATGTATATTTCGTATTTAATCTTAATTAACACAAGACATAATTTAAATTTTAACAGTGATTTTACTGTTAAAAAATATTATTTTTTTTGGTATGCCAAAGTTGTAAGATTTTAAATGTTGATTAATTTATAAATAAAAGAAATAATGTTTTGTTATTAGTATCGACGTGGGGCTATGTGCCCTCATGTTGGATTCCTTAATAGGCTTTATTCCAATATTTGTTGTCATCTATGCATGAAATACAATTGAATTGCGAGGTGACATAAACAGAAAACAAAAACTTGTTTCTTTTCCATATTTTAATGCATAGAAATTTAAACAATATAGAGATGGCATGTTTACAATATCACGTGCAACTAAACCAAACCATAGAATAAAATGTACTACAACTTAGAAGAGAAGGAGCATAGGATTCTTATATCAACAAGGAGAGTTTGGAAAAATAAAAATAAAAATGTTAATGTGGCATGTTGGGTCAGTGACAAGAACGTGTGGAGCAAATAAGCCACAAGATAGGTGACAATTATGAGAGTAATGCACAACCTACAATGCTATGTTGTATTATTTTTCGCAACTTTGTAATATTGAAAAATATTATACAATGTGGATGCATCACATCCAAATCCGAATATATTTTGAGTAGAAACAAAGATGGGATCTCTTCATATGACTATTCAAAATACATTCACAATTCAAATTAATTACATTTGGGTTGTATGATGATATCCTACATCATTATAAAATAAATGATTAATTAAGATGATAGCAAACAATGTGCATTTCATGGAAAGCATAAAATGTTTGAAAACTCAATTAATAAAGTTAATTCAATCAAATTGCTTTACATGTCATCTTCTATTGCTGTGTTTGGATTGCGTTAAAATATGGCAAACATACATGTTTGGTAGTTTTCAATCATATGTGATTATGTTGTTAAAAGTATGTTTGACTAAAAGTGTGTGTATACATTTATATTATTAAATTTTACTATAGATTTACTTATGATGTAAATTTTTTAGATGTAAATTATTTCGCTTTATTTAATTTTATTTAGACCATTTTCTGAAAACTTAAATTGTTCCAAATATCTGAAAACTTGACCAAAATCAACTATTAAATTTGTTTCCATATGTACTTTTATTGAAGGGATAAATAGAAACCGATCAAAAATATTGATTTTTTTTCCAGAATGCTTCAAAGTGATCGACATTGAACATGAAAATAATTCAATGAAGGAGCCATTTTTCCTCGTCTTGTTAGTAGTTAATATTATTTGATAACTAATATTAATTTATTACAAACAACGAAAAAAAATCTCTCATCTTATTATGACTGTTTTTTCTTCCCATAAAACAAGTTCTATCCCACACACATTTCCTCATTTTTCACAAACTTAAAGTAAAATTAGTGTTTTAAGAAGGATTAAATACCAAACACTTATTGTAATTACATCACTACCTGACATAATAAATTGATGAATCTGATCCAGCGAGAGGTATATTGATTTTAACTTATTATGTTAAAAAATATATAACTATTTATATCATAGTTACAATTAATTAACTCTTTCAATAAATATATTTTTGGCAAAGAAGTCTATTTTGTCATAGTAAGTACAGTAATTAATAATTTTGTTAAGATTTTCGTTAAACCATATAACATGTAATGAAGTATATAAGATAAATAAATATATTATTGATTAAAAAATTATTAAACAAAATTAGCCGTGATAATTTGATAAATAATTTTGTTTCTCAAAAAAGCTAAAATACAAATATAAAATAATTTGATAATAATTTTATTAATCATTTTTATTTGTTTAAAAGACTTATTTTAAAAATTATTTTAGGCTTAGAGGAAATGCAAGTGGGGATTGTGCTTTCCTATCGGTCCCCATTTTTATTAGCGAGTATCTCTACGAGTGATGAGTATTTTAATATTTATAGATATTAAAGATTTTTAAAAATATAAAAAAGGAAAAAATTATGTAATATAACATTATACTATATTAACATCATGTGATGTAATTTTGATCATCATGTCTTTATCACTTAAAAAAATTATTATGAAAAATACAAAAATTAAACAATATATTTAATAAAAGAAATGTATAAGTTAATACCTAGTGAGAGATATTATGTGAAAGGAGAGTATTTTAGTTGTGCCAAGTGGGGTTTGTGAAAGGAGAGAGTCATAACTAGTGGGTGATGGAGATTCTCTTTAATAACTTTATCATTGAATAACATCATGAGTCTTAAAATATTTATTTTATTTTATAAAAAATACTTATAAATATAGTTGTTTTGTATAAAAAGTGGTTATATTTTTTACTATACCATGTGAAATGAATCTTTTATATATATATATTCATGTGAAATGAATTTAGACTATAGATGATATATTTTCATATAATCTGTGTGGATATATACAGCACAAGAGTTTTTACCAGTCTTAATTAATTTGGGTTTGAATTGAACTAATTAGTTTAATCAAAACTGAAAAAACCTGTGCCAAAAAACTAATAAAAAAACTATAGTTGATTAATTTTTAAATTTACAAGGGATTCAATTCCAATAAATCATTTTTTAGAAAAAGAAATTACATACATTTTTTATACTAATCATGTTTATTTTAAAACTTTCTCATTATAAGTCATGTCAAACTTAATTCTCTATTTTATATTGAGCAAATGTTGCACTGTTAACAGTTAGTTTGTTGGGGGGAAAAACAATTAGTTTAAAATTATATTTTTATTTTTATTTTTATTTTGATATATTTTGGTGTATTTATTTTAACTTCTATTCAGTATGTTTCAGCGAATTAACTTTGATTCATATTTGATATATTTTAATTTGATAAAATTGATAAATTTATATTTTAAATTAAATTAATGAAATAATATAACAGAAAAATCAAGTAAATTGAATCGGTTAATTTTTATTCGATCCAATCCTCTTATTTACGAAAATTTACCTATGTCTATTCCTTTCCCTTTTAAGCAAAAAGAAAATCATATACAACTTTGTTGGTACACTAATACTGTATAACAAAAATAAACTTTGTATCTACAATGAATGAGGTATACTTACAAAACAAATATAAATTTGAGAAACTGAAATCGAAAAAGGACTACATAAGAATTAAGAAAAGTGACAAATAAAAACAGAAAGAAACTTGTCCCAAGAAATTTCTTAGACTCTTAGGAAAAGACAATAGAGATAACACTCGTGAAAATAGTCCTAAGACTACAAGAAAAAAACAACCCGTAGAAAGACGAAAGTTGAAATAGAAGCAATTTGATTAATCTGATTAATGAAAAGAAGCCAATAATTATAAATCTGATTATCAATCATAGTAACTTTTGATATTAAGTTACAGGGAAATGGGCATTGGACAATCACAATGCATTTTTTACTTTGTAAGAGTTGTTTTCCTTTAAATATAACTTGTCCATTTCATTAAACCTTGTGTATGAGATATCTGGTATTGTAACATAAATCCAAACTTAGCTAAGTAGAAAATTATTTCCACTCCCCTATTAAATTCTTTGATTATTATTATTATGTGTTTTAATAATTATGGTTGAATTAACAAAACGGAAAATAAGGGAAAACAATATATGAAGTCAAATCTGATGTTTAATTAAGCATAGTGTTCTAATCATATTTGATTATTTGTTACATAAATTATTTAACTTACTATATTATCCATTATTATTAGAAATTGATGATCAAATAGCTGAAGCAACGCAGGTTTTATGTAAAATACCTTACACAAAGTGCAGATAAAAATCTAAATCCATAAAAAGGTAATTGTTTAGAAATGTTTTAATAGTAATAATGTCTAATAGATTATTCTTACATTAACATTTATGAAAGTATCTTAATTAAAAAGTGTGTAATTATTCCATGCTTCCCAAGAGTTGCGAAGCCTCAGAAGTCACTTAACCGTGTATAAACATGGAGTCCGAACCTTATGTTTCACTGTTTTTTTCATATATAAAAAATTGTTGACATTTATATTACGATTAGTTCTTTACTAATATAACATAATTCTGCCTCTTTTATAATCTTTCTTTTAATTTTTATTATATTCTTTATTTTTTTCTCTTTTTAACACCTATCTCACATCCCTTCCTATAATGGAACTTGAAAACATGAATTTTACTCTTTTTTTAACTACTAAAAATTAATAATATATATAATGTCAAATATTATTATTTTAATCTTTCAATTATCGTAAGAAATGAGTGCTTAGAAGATAGGACAACGTAAAAGGTGACATATATGTGAGAATATTTTTATATCACATCAATCACAATTATTATGCTTTATGAATTCTCCTATTTCTGTGAGTCCAAAAACAGCTAGTGGAATTCATAGCTAAGATGACATATCAGAGGTGAAAGAAATGAGGGTTTAATAAAACTTTTGCTTTTTGGTCTTTTAATGTAAGCATAGCCAATTAGGTTCATGCAAATCATACCAAATTAAACCAAGGAAACAGAATTTCAGAACATGGGCATTGGACAAACAAAGAAAGCATTTTTTTTTTAAAATCATTATGAACAGAAAAATTACAAGGCCAAGCAAGAAAAGAAAAATTGATTCTACAAAATCTCTCAAATCTAAGGAATGTAATCATTTTCAATTGTTGGTCTTGTGCGAGTCCCCACTGCCAGTGGTGCTTTGGTGCCTCCAATGGATGCCATATGCAAGGTTTCATTGCTTTCAGCTACCCATTCCAATTGCTGAATCTTCATCCCTTGTTTGGTTCTTCTCACTTTTCCCACCAATAGACTCAACATGATCAACAAAATGCACCCACCAACCAAAGATGCAACAATTATCCAAACCTTGGATTTGTTCTTCCCACTATATCCCCCAACATCAGCAGCAACAGCAACAGCAGCAGGTGCTGGTGATGGAGCATTGGATTCCACAACAATAGAGAAGTGTCCTTGTTGGAATGTTGAACACACATTACCATGTACTAGGATGTCAAATTGCACTGAACCATGTAGATCAAAGTACACACACTTAGGCACTGACCCTGATGGTGCTTTTTTCACATCATTGAACTTGATCAAAATTGGGTTATCTGAAGCTCTAATATCCAATTCAGGCAACTCATAAGCTGACAACTTGGCACCACTATAAGACATTAGGCCCAAAATAGGAGCCAAATAAGAGTAACCAGGCAATGGGTAGAACTTCTCAGACCAATTGCCTAAGTTATGGTACACTAAAACAAGCCTCTCTACATAAGGTTGCTCAACAACCCCAATTGGGATCTGAAATTCTTTGTAGCTTTCAACACCCCTTGTTCTCAAACTACCACTCCTAAGCCTCATTGCTGAAACTCTAACCCCAGTTAGGTTTCTGGGCACTTGAGCATCATAAGGTACCCCAGTTTTTGGCCTCGAAAATGCCTTAAAGGCACAATCTTGAAGAATGGCATCAAGGGTGCGTGATGAGATGCCAGTGTCTGGTAAAAGTTGAGAACTTGAAAGTGGCAGAAAAAGAAGCAATAGCAATGAAAAGAGTGCGAGGAAACTGGTTCCAACCCTCATCAAGATCTCATTAGTTCAGTCAAAAATTAAACAAAACCCACCAAGAATCTAGCACTGAAAAACAAAGCCAAAGAGCAAGACACAGAATGCAGCACTTAGAGAGAGAAAGAGAGAGACTTTACAGTTTAAGCAGCACAAAATGACAATAAATTGTTGGCATTGTGTTTATGTGCTGCTGAAGATCCCAATGCTGAAATAAAAATCAGATCTTTCAAGAGACAAGTTGCTTTGTTGTGATGGGTTAGTGGGAAATTCTTGAAATTGTTACCAAAGAATGAGTTTTGTGTTGGAGATTCATGGAATCAGGAAAAGGGTAAGGCCTTGTTCCAGAACCTCTTTGAAGAGGAAAATGGTGGAAAAAAAATTTAGAAGATGGGTTGAGAAAAGAGAGGGAGATTAAGAAATTGGGACAAATATCAGGTGAGAATGAGGAGATGTAGGGGACAACGTTGCCGTTTGAGATTGGGAGTGGAAACATTCACTGTAATGTAAAGGTTAAATGTTAATGCATGCACATTCCTGCCTGGTGCTGTTTTGTTGTGTTTTGGGTTTTATGGGACCCCTAATTTATGTTTCTTAAGGATCTATTTGGATTGTTTTTGTGTTCATGTGCAAGGTATGTGTGTTTTGGTACACCCGATTATTGAAGTGTTCTCTAAACTCTTGATACATTTATTTTTTAAAAAACTTGTGTTTCTTTTTCTTTCATTTTTTTTACTATTTTTTTAGGTAATCATAAGAATTATTACATCATCTTTTAGGGGAATTTAATATTTTAAAATATTATGTTAATATGTGTCTAAAGATATATTAAAAATTATAACATTTAATGTTATTAATGCATTAGATTATATAATATTTTGTTATTTTTAATAAAAAATTACTATATATAGTTAAATTTTGCAGTTTTAACTCTTAAATATTTAAAACAATGTTTTTATTAAAAAAGAATTTATTACTAAAAAATATGTAAATTGGATTTTTGTAGTGTTATAATTAAATTGAGAGAATAATCAGGGTTGAAAGGATGCGGGAATGAAGGAAAAGTAGGTGGGAAAAAGTGAGAAACGTTGTAAAATGGGGTGTCAAATCGAGAGAGTACAAAGCATGTGAACTTGATACATTGGCAGAGGTGGAATTAGCTAGTAATTGCAACTGTAATTTATTGGGCGCAGGTATGAGTCAATGCCACACTAACCAAATGTCTATGTGGGTTCTTCAACTGCCTCAATAGGAAAGAAAGGGTGAGACCAACTTAAGAAATGTGGTCAAACTGCTGCTGCTGGCCGTAACTATAATTATGAACATAAATATATAGTTATGGTACAACCAAATTTTAAAGCACAGACTGTTTTCATAAATCTCTGTCATGCAGCAACAGCCAGCGGTGCTACACCCTCACCTTTTTTTTTTTTTCCTTTTATTATATTCTTCAAACAATTTAACATATTAATTTTTCGTCTATTTTTTTACTTGATTTTTTTAATTCGATTGCGATTGGACGTCTTTTGCAGTGTTCAAAACTTAAAAATTGATAAGAAATTTGTTTTAGAAAAAATTACTACAAAATAATTGTTGAGCCACTATTTTTTAATTTGAATATGGTGTTTAACATCAACCTTCAAACCCTTCAACCGGATGTTAAAATAATATTATTTAAAATAAATTAATTATAGCTTAAATATATTTTTAGTCCACATATTTTAATAAATTTTTAATTTTAATTCCTTCAATCAAAATTTTCTTATAATTTTTAATTTTATTTTTTAATGTTGATCAGATTTATTAAGATACTACCACGTTAGTTTTATTTAATCACATTAACGTTAAAAAATAAAAATAAACTCATTTGAAATTAATAAAATTAAAAATTCATTAACATTAATTTTTTAATAATAAGAAGTACTTCACTTTTATTCCCTAAAAACCCCCTTCAAGAAGCTGATCACGGGCAAAGGAACGGCAGTCAATCAATCAATCAGAGAGACTTATTCTATGCAAGATTGTAAATTTGCAAAGGAAGAACGCTCTAGAATATCCACGCCCGTGAATGTGTGGTCCCAAAATACTAATCAATAAAAGAGAGAAAAACGAATATTGTTACTCAATCAGTGACTCTTGGCTGCGCAAATTGTATTAGCAAATGCAATCGAGGAAATAGTCTAATCATGTTTCAATTTAACTTGAATCAACAATTTACGTACACATCACGGTGCACACACGAATACAACGGATTGAACCTACGAAAGAACACTGCCATGATTTTTTGTTGACAAATATTGCCGCTATACAGACACTTGCTGATCTAGGTTACGTATGCTGATATAATGAAAATAATTAAATAATAAATAAAACTCAAGTTACACGATAAAAGGTACAAAATTACATCAAGGTACACCCACGATACATTAAACGAGAAGCATATAAATAATAACAAATTAAAAAACGGTGCATCACCATTCTAACAAATGAATTTGATGTCATTTGGCATCCTTTCCGGTGACAGAAGAGGTACTTCTAGTCACTTCGGAACTCTTAGCATCGTTTCCAGATATGGTAGCTGAGATGCCTCTTGTTAATTCTAAACTCGTGCCAAAGTTGGCTTCCGGAGGGAGTGATAGGGATGCTGCAGATGGAGTAACAGAATCCAGGGGAATATTAGGCACTTGGGGAAGGTTAAGAGGATTAACTTCAGTGACTTCCTCATTGCTCTCGTCAAAGTAGACAACATCTTGCATTGTAAGTTGGTGATATTCCACAACCTCCCTTAGAAAGCGATTCTCACGGGCATAAACAGAGTTCTCGTGGGCCAAACGAGCTTTTTCAGCCAGAAGAGTTTCCAGCTGAAGCCGTATCTGTAATGGAAATGCTATCATGAAGAATCTAGATTTTTTTTATGAAATGAGAATGAGTATTCAAAGCACATTTTCCGTAAGGAATAAGGAGAATTAAAATCTGAATAATTTCATCAACTGAATTAAACATGACCCAAAGCTGAGAAAACCTCAAATTTCAGTTATCTAAATTTATGCAAGGTTTCTTGGTTCCATTTTTTGAATGTCATTGCAAGGACAGTAGGGAAGTCATAAAAGTTTTTCCTTTTTTACTTAAAAACGAGTAGATAAAAAAGAGAAGCACATAAGAAGATAGCATCGGAAGGTCAACCGGAGATACTTAAAAACGAGTAGATAAAACAGGAGAAAAAAAGAATCAAACCCATATATTAGATATTTAATTCTGCTCAGTTAATTACAGCCTCACTTTTGTTTTGATGCAGATTCTTCTTATAATCTTACTTAGCATGCTACCTTTCATGATTTATACAGGTTTTAATTCAAAGAACCGACCCAACACCAACACACACACACTGCCGTCAAGGCACAGTTTTGGCGATCCAACCTGATATTCGATACCCAATTTTTGTTTCTCTTTTCATATTACATAAAACTTTAAGTCAAGCTAGCAAAAAGGTCAACCACCATTCAAGAATAATCCTAAAATTGTGAGAAAAAAGGACAACTAGAAAATAGACAGGCTGCCTTGTTATTAAAGTAGCATTCTACATTATAAGTTTAAGCCCCTTAATGTATGACATAAATAAAGCCAGCCAATGCACAGTTGCACACAGCTCCCCACCATTATAGGGTTTGAAGTGGGTTAAATTATAAGAAGTTTTACCCTGTGAGGAGAGAATTTGAATAGTTCAACAAAAAGCATCATATTATAAAAAGCATACTACAATTCGTAACCAAAGCAAAGTAATTGCAAATTGTACTTACAAAATGAGTTTGGGAAGCAGAGCATGCATATCAAGGGGAAATACTATAATGCAAAATGAAAAAAAAGGAGATAAGCATACCAAATCATCATCATCTTGGCTATCTCCCCTTTCACGATTCTCACGAAGGATTTTATTTTCTTCCTCTAGTTGAGCACACCGATCCTTTGCAAAAGCCAGATCAGCTTTGACAGTCTTCAACTCCCGAAGTAGTAGTTTTGCTTTGGCAGCCATTGCCATTGCAACCTGTCACAAAAACCAAAATGCAAACAATGCATCCCATTAAGAAGATTAAGATACATCATTGAAGCTCGTATCTTGGGATGATATCAATTCAGCACCAGGCTGGGAACAATTTTGTCACAAACATTCATATTTTCTGATTAAGAAACAAATGGACTTGGAAATCAACCTTTTTTCTTTCGGGAGGGAGAAATGGGATATCTAAATCAAGAATATTAAAAATGATCCTTTATCTTAAAATAAAAAAACCACAAGAGGAAATACATAAAAATAATTATTTAGTTTTGAAATAATCCAAAACACACTATGTAAGAACAGTAAAGGCAAAAGTAAGAATGGGTTGAGAGAAACCTGAAAAGTAATTCCAAAATATTAGTTCGGAATTACTCTTGCTTCAGCTGTCATGTCCATAAGATTGACCAAGGAAAATTATGGTCATGTGCAACCTTTAGGGCCCCAAGCTTTTAACAAATGATTATTGGTTTGCAAATTAATTTTATGTGAGACAGCATTAGTTATTAAAATATAAAGTTTTATGGTTCAATCAGATTCAGATTCATAACAAAATTAAAAACTTTCTGATACATTACATATTTGAATTTCAAGTTCTTATAACTCCACTATATTTAGCATAAAAATATTAATTTATATAAAAATAACTAAATAATAAGAAAAAAAATGAAAATTTTTAGGTTCTAGTGTTCATAGGGATGTATGATCCAGGATCTACATATAAGAAAAGAAATATGGTTGCTTTCTATGTGTCGCACTTACTCCCCTTAGCGACAAAGGTCAGAAAATAATCTATTACCTTCAAGTAATGCAGATAAGAAAACAAAAGTCCCAGAAGAGACATAACAAGATAGTGCTATAAATAAGAGAACTGAATTTTTTTCTTCTATTTCTGCAAATCATGGTATAATTGTACTGCCATCTATGAAGCCCAGCTGCCTATGTTTGAGATTTGTTAGACTCAACACAGCACTACAGACATCTGATTTGTAATTTTAGAAATTAAAAAGATAAAAAGAAATTCATTGTCTATAAATGTGTACTTTTTTCAAGTGTTGAAGTTTTGAATTTTGATGTGATTGCTCTGTATCATGTCAATTGTCGAATTGTATCTTGTACCCCATGTGTTTGCTTCATGGCAGAAGTCAGTTTCAATGCATCCTAACATAGAAGCCTCAATATATGAACACATTCAAAATTCTCTAATTTTAATCATATCAATTATTGGATTGGATCTACTGAATCTGATAAAGTAAGACATAACAGCACAAACAAATATAAGCATGCAGTATATTTTAGGGAGAACATAAAGTAAAAATGAAAGGGAGAAAATTTAAAAACAAAAGACTTTGAGCTAGAATGTTGAACTTTGGATGCTGCACAGTTTAATCCCACAAGTACTTTTACCACATTAAAAAGTGATACACAGTTGCCACCTTACGTCGCGAGATGCCTTCAGTTGAAGATCTTGATCAGTTTGCATTGGTGACATCTGAGTTCGCAGTTGGGATTGATGCAATGTAGTGGAGTGGTTTGTCTCCTGATTTTGTCCTGCAAAATTGGAAGGCTTTTTCCTGATATGTTTACGAGTTTCTTGAATGATATCTGATGTTCGATTCTCAACAATTGTTAAACCTTCCTGCAAAAGTGAAATAGCAGGGTACTAAGAAGATCACAAAACATGTCCTTCGGCGAAGGGAGGGGATGAGAGAGAATTTTGAGATTTTCACTTGAAGCATGATAAGAAAGAATAGAACCAACAACCTACTTAACATCCAATCTACATCAGCCTAAGGCCCAAGTCCAAAAGGTAAAGTGGAGTGCTAAGAACATGCTATCTAATACACTCTTTTTTTTTTTTACTAAAATTTATTTGAAACTAAAAAAATATAGGTGAAAGTCATTAAATTAAGAGTGAAACTAACATGATATTGGTAATTTCCAACAACATTTAGCATATAATTAAAAAGTGTGTCTGAAAGAATATGCTAGAGTGTGTTGCTAGCATTTCTCAGGGGTAAATGCATAAGTAAAAAATCATAAGTAGAAATAAAAAGATGAATACTCCATCCCGATTACAACTAAGAGAATGCTAATATAGATAAAAAAAATATTTCAAAGATGGAAAGGACTCATTAAAGAATACATTTATATTTAAATTAGAGGGAAATATAACACATAAGCAAAACTGCACATATCAAAGCTCACCTCCAAAGATTTACCAATGGTACCACCAATATGAGTAAGAGAAGAAGTGATAGCATCTAATCCCTTCATAAATCCCGGACTGTCCCTTTTGATATTGCTTTCCTCCATCTGATTTAAATTTTGGAACTACACAGAGAATGACAATGGCCATATAAAAGATAATGACAATTTAAATTCAAAAACTTGAAGTGTGTGTATGGTGTATGTGGCCCCACTTTGGAGTTCTGCTAATAGTTATGTGTTATTTCAACAGGGTTTCTATTTCAAACATTGATACATATTGGGCAGTTCTGCTGCATTTTTTTTTTCCTCGTACTTTGTAGGATTCCTTATCCATCTTTTATTTTTACCTCCATTTTTATCTTTTTACATGATAAATATTCTATTCCTATTAAATAAATAAATAAATAAATAGCTCCATAAAGCACAGATACTCTGGTGGACTAACGTTTAACATTCTAATGTAGTCTACATTATTACAATTTTACTGGTGCAAAATGTGTATCTCTTACAAGATGCAGCGCTCCTTTTTCTAGAGAACAACTAAAACAAAATATTTTACTAGAATATGAGCCTTCCAAAATCTTGACTGCATTAAAAACTTAATTTTCAATTCAATGAAATCATATCAAACTTTGATTTTTTATTTTCCCAGCAAAACATACAGAGCAAAATCTTTGCTGAGAACTTGAGATATAATTATAAACTCACCTTGCCCCTAGATCCTACACTAGTAAATTGTGACCTTGTTGTCCCTGGCATTTCAGATTGCTGGGGTATATTATCATCCTCAATAATTGATTTGGCTTTTCTGGCCAGAACACCCCAAAATCCATTCTTGGACTCATTCAAGTTCTTCATAGATGTATATTCATAAGTTCTTGAGTCCTATATATACAAAGTACCCCGTTTAGCAAAATGACCCTACACTTTGAATCAACAGAATGATACATTCAGCAGAATCCAAATAACACCAATTAAACGAATGTGGGAAACAGAGAGAAAGTAAGCACATGCTAGACACGCAGCTCCAATCTTCAATGCGTTCATATAAAAAAATCCAGTATTAGCTTCAGCTTTCATACCCACTATTGTAAGTTTGTAACAGATACATCTAGCAGATACTCCAGCCAGTTTTTAGTATAAACAAAATTAGGAACTAGAATTATAGAGACATCAACAATTAAAAGAAGATGCGCCTTAACATCTGGGCTATTTTAGCTAATAAAAGAATTCATCCAACGAGAGAGAGAAATGCAAAAGAAGAGGATGCATCCCCACACTCACAAAAAACAAAAATATGCAGAAAAACTACAATCCTGAAAACCAGAAGTTGCTGATATAACGGTATTCTAAGGATGCAAAGTTAGCAGGGTTTAAACAATAAGTACACTAGGGGTTCGAGTTCGACTAGTTTCGTTATAAAGTTGACATCATTTCACACTGCCCATGTTTGTGAAACCGAAGCCTAACATAATAAGAGGGCTTTCATTTCCCTTTGCAACTTGCGATTGTGCGGGCAACAGTTTGCCGTCAACAACTAGCTCCAAGTTACTGCATCCCATGAATAGAAACATTTCTCTAATTTTCTTTTCTCTCAAAAATACATACATAAATATCATCAACAACTAGAGCACGAAGAATTAAATAAATATCAATAAATCTTATCCACAGAAAACTCATAAGCAATACACTAACTAACTGAATACAAACAAGAGAACATTACTACACTTCACATCCGTCGAATTTTCATATTTTCTGGGAACACACGCATACACAGGTACCTTGGAGGAAGGAAGAGGAGTTGGAGTGGGTTGAGAAGGAGAGATTGGAGAAGAAGCGGAGGAGAAGTTGGAGTGACCGTAGAGAGAGGAGAGAGAAGAATCGCGACGCGCCGAAGAAGCTCTGATAGCTTTGGCAGCGAGCGAAGACGAAGAAGAAGACGAAGCGGAAGCTTCAACATCGTCGTTTTGCGGTGGAAAGAGGTTAGGGTTTCGAGTTGCTTCGTCTTCGAATGTCGAAGAAGGTTTCGAAATTCCTTGTTGTCTCCTTCGATACGCCATCGAATCAACCTTGGTTCTTGGATCGAATCGCGGAAACAAACGGAACTGGCGCCGCCGCCGCCGCCGCCGCCGCCACCCCCACCGTCCCGGCGTCACAGTCCACCGTTTGGATGCTTGGAGAATCTTCGTCTCCCTCAAATCCGGATCCGATCACGAAACAGAGAAGTCAGAACCACCACGGATGATGAAACGTAGCACTGTGAGCGCGTTTATCAATTTTAATTTATTTTAACTTTATAAAATAAAAATTAGAATATCACTGACCTGCTTTTTCTTTTGTCTCTAGTGTGGGCTTGCAAAATTAAGGATAAATCATAACTTAATCAAATCAAATGCAGATAAGAATTTTGCTTTTAAAATCTCGTAAATCAAATTGAAACTTAAGAAATGTTCTTACAGTTTATAATTTTATTTTGATTTCAATTACTAATGATTTATTCTTTGTCTATCCCTCAAATAAATAGTTAAGATATCAAGTACTTTTTAGCTTCAAATAATGTTTTTATTTATAATTATGCAAATATTATTTTGTTTTTATTGTTTAAAACTTTACAAACATAGAGAGAAAAAATTAAAAAAAATTGTGTTTTTTATACAAATTATTAAAAAGACATTAAATTTAATGAGTGGTAAAAATATAATTCAAGTTTTAAATAGGAATATTCAAATAATTTATCAAAAATTTAAAACACATAATTAAATGTGGGTTAAAATATAAATAGTAAAAATATTTTTATCTTCCTTAAACTTTAAGGTTGACAGTGTTGTCAATCACAGAAGTGATTTTGAAAATTATCCTTAAATAATAATTTGCAAGAATTTAAAAGAATTGATGAGGCTCAAATTTAAAGCAACAAATAAATAAAAAAATTTAAGAAATAAAAATTAAAATATTTGTCAATAATAATATCAAATATTAAAATATTTAATAAATGATAATTTAAAATATAAAAATTAAATAAAAATATTATATTAAATATGACATTATTTTTTATGCATAATCAATCATACGTGTCACTTAACATGATATGTTAATATTCTGTTATTTTTTATAAGAAGTATTTAAGTTTAAAGACTTGATTGTTCAACCAAAAATAAAATTTAAAGATTAATATAATATTTTTAAAATTTTAATAACTAAAATAATAGTTGAATCATTTATAATTTATTTTAATTTTTAGTCTCTTATTTATAACATAAATAGATAGTTGAGATATGAGGTGCCTTTTAGCTTTAAATAATATTTTTAAATTATAATTATAAAAATGTTATTTTGTTTTTGTTATTAAAAACTTTACAAAAATAGAGAAAAAAAATTTCTATTTTTTATACAAATTATTAAGAAAATATTAAATTTAATGATTTGTAAAAATATAATTCTAAGTTTCAAACATGATTGTTCAGATAATTTATTAAAAATTAAAATACATAATTAAATGTGAGTTAAAATATAAATAGTAAAAATATTTTATTATAAATAATATTTCATTAAAGTCTACACTCAATTACTGCGAGATGTACATTCAGTAAATATCTTCATATAAGATTTTCTTAATAATCTTCATATTATCATATAAAATAAGTACACAGTAAAAGATTACTGTAAAAATACAAAATTCTACTCATTTATATATGGCGGTATTATGATAATGTCAAATGTCAAGAGATTTAAGAACATATTGAGTTCATTTTATTTTAAAAAATAATTGATTTTTCTTTTCAAAATTTTAAAATAAATTAAAAAATATTTTTAAAATTAAATTGAACCAGAAATAACATAAAGATTAAATAAGAAGACACGAAGATAAAAAGAAATGGTTACCATGAGTCATGTCAATGATCATAGGAAGCTAGCAATTATGTGGGACAAGCATAGTAAATGGTTATATATGCAGACACTGGCAACCATTTTAATTAAAAGTAGCAGTAACAGTGTGCTTACAATATGAGTTGTCAATGACAATAGTTGTCGGGTTACAGTAATAGCAAACGTATTATGTTTATAATATGTAAAACCAATAGAATATTGGTATTAACTTTTGTCTTATATGTTTTGAACAATAATTTCTTTAGTCTGACTGATTTGATTTGGAATTAGACTCAAAATTAAACTTTTAATTTTAATTTATACACCTAACTAAATAATTAAGAGAGAGTTGCAAATATAAAAAAATAGTTGCATGATTAAAAGACGATCCAAACAATGCACTAAATGGAACCTTGTAAGTGTTTTTATCATGAAATGTGTTATTCATTTTAATCACATAAATGTAATTACTCTAAAGATACTGATCAGAGAAAAACTTAAGAATTTAAATAAAAAAAAACCAATATCATACAAATTATATAATTTACTGACAAAAAAACTATTTAAGTCTGAACTGTATATGAGATAAATTTTTGTTTTAATAAAAAGGTGCTAAACAAAATAAGCTTTGATAAAATGGTTATTATAATACACGCATTAACTTAAATTTTTTATCCCATTTAATAATTTTACTTGGATAGTCATTTTGAATTTAAAATATTAATCTTATAAATTTTATTTACAGTTTTTTTTTATCAAACTTAATATTTCACTGATATATGTAAAGACTGATAATATTTATTTTTTTATTTTTCTTTCTTTCTTTTTTTTCATAGGGATAGGGATGGATGAAGGAGATATGAAAATTTTATAGACACATAATTCAAACCTTGTACTTACTGCATATTCTCTATTAACTCTCACCAGTGAGCTATGCTGCAATAATTATAAAGCCAGTTTCTTAAGTTTTTGGGCTTCCTTTGTTGTTAACTGAAGTGCTAGCAGCAAGGCCCACAATCTACAATTACACTAAAAGAAATGTATGAAAAATTTTCAGTCCTTTTAGATCACTTACTCATTCCTATGTATGAAAATAACTACTCATGTGTATAGTTAATTTTTTTCTAATTAATTTTTTAAAAAAATAAAGAAGTAAAAAAATCCATAATGTCTAGTAGGTTAGGGCTGGTCATGAATAAGCTCACTTTTAAAAAATAACAAATAGTTGTTTATTAGTTGTGTTAATTAGTCCTCTGCATCTTGTGTATGATATGCTCTGCTGTATGGTATGCTCTGTTATTTTAAGCTCCACGAATACATATTTGTGTATCTGTGAAATTAAAGTGCAATTGTTGCTTTAAGAAACATGCTTTGCTGATCAAACCACCTGGGTGGAATTGGTGTTATCATTTGCTCTGCAAAGAACAACTATGGATAATATATATATATATTATCCATAGTTGTTCTTTGCAGATTTTCTGTATACTTGTTCAATTCTTATATTTATATATATTGTTTCATCCCTCTATTCTTTTCATATTGTATATTTATTAATTTTTTTCTTCATATCTCTCTTTTACACTATTCATTTAAACTTTTATATGTAGAAAATGAAACTAAGGGAAAAAGAAGATAACATTCAAGATTGATATGTTATCAATTATGGTAAGGTGAAATCTTTTGAGACACTATATACAATAAAAAAATGAAATTTATTAACTATTATATTTAAAATATTAATTAAACACTGAACAAAGTTTTTATTTGAACACGTTAATGTTATATTAAAAATTACAGTAAAAGTATATTCACAATGTTGTTTAATAAAAATTAAATTTATTTATTTAACTAATATATCAATAAAATTTATCTAAACAAAAAAAAAAGTTTTTTTTAATATAAACTCTAAAACTTGAATTTAAGCATAAAAAGTAAAACTTTATTAAAAAAAAGTATTCATTCTATTGGATATGTAAAGTAAAATAAATACTTATTTTAAAATATATTTTTTTAAATGTTTAAACCCAATTTAAAATCAACAGAAGAATCTTATGAGGAGGCTTAATTGAGCAAAAGTGAAGCCATTAAATTCTAAATAAAATTCTAAAGTAGTTTGGTTCTTTTTCAACTCCCCTTTCTGCTCTTTCTTACTTTTGATTCATTTACAGCTTTATGTAATACACATAATGTAGTGAAATGGGCATTATCAACATGCAGCCGCGTGGTTGGTGCTTAAAATCTGCTTGTTTTTAAAAGGGCAATCAACCCTTCAACTCAACTATGATCTTCTTTTGTTTATGAATATATAGCCCAACAACAAAAGCCCACAGGGGAAAAACAAATAACACCACAAGCCATGCATAGCTCCAATAAAAGATTGTGTCTACACTACTTTATGCTCAAAATTCTCCACACAATCATTACTACATTTGATGAAACTTTGTTGTTGGCAATTGGTAGGTGGAGAGGGATGGCGGTGGCTACCCTCTTCTTGACAACCCAGCATGGGCTTCCTCTGGTGCCATTGCCACCTAGTCATCCCCATCAACCATGCTGTTCAACTATGCAAAATAAAAGGATTCATCTTCACAAAAGTTAAGATTTCATTTCTATTACAAAAATTTGTTCAAATACAGTTGTTATTTTTTTTACAAATTATTATTTTTAATTCTTCAAATTAACTTATTCTGTTAAGATACCGTAAAATATCAACTTTTAGTTAAATTATATTAATTAAAGAGACTCAAAATAATAATTTATAAAAAAATAAGAATTATATGCTAACAATTTTTTTAAGAATTAAGTTTAAATTATATAACATTTGTAAGAATTAAATATTTAATTAAATTAAAATAATGTGAAATTTAACTCTTCTTCCTAAAAAAAACTATACACTTTAGGTTTTTTCACGGGATAATTTATTTAAAAAATCATTGAACTAATATAACTTTTAAAAATATTATTAAAAAAATGTAAGTCATACTTTAGAAATACAAATTATCTCATTTTTCTTATTTGCCAATGTATAACTGTGAAATTTTTAACTGCTATAAATTTTGTTAGTGGTTTAAAGTTATCATAATTATTTTAAACAACACCAACTTAACAAATTGTAAGAAGGTTAGCCTATTCAAGTAAAAATAAATAAATAAATAAATAAAGTATATAATTTAGACAAAATATTTGTGTCACTGGCAAGTGTGGGCATAGAAAGACATTGAGAGTCCTTATACTTAAATAAAATGCATGGCAAAGGGAAAGATCATGCTTAGGATCACATGTCATTTTTTGTTTTTGTTCTTGTTGATCACATGCTTGAGTGTCAATCAATAAGGAATCTAGGAAAGGGGTCTCCCAAGCTCACATAGTTTGCAAAAGGAGAAAAAAGCATAGACAAT